ACACACACACACACACACACACAAACCAAAGGCTTCAATCGTCCCAAACGCAAACGCAAAAGCAGCATTCGTCACCTTCGCCTTGCTGGCTCTATAGTCGCCCCCCCTGATGTCGATCGCCGGGCCGAAAACAGCACACTCATCACTTGTCCAACCTCTAGCCTCATGAAGCTTGGAACCAATGTGTGCAAATTCAAGATTGCACGTGTATGTAGCATATACATATAGCGATTACACCACCTTGGCTGTGGTAATTTCATTTCTGACGAGGAGAACGGCAGGCAGATGTACCCGCAAGCCAGATGAGGAAGGTGGCGCGACCCGCGTCCGGCTGGGCGGAAGTGCTGCTTGCGCTGAATCGATACTCGCAAATATTTATTAAACTTTAAAGGCCTCCCTCACAGTAACATCCGAGTGATTGAGTGCCAAGTTTCTTTCTTTCTCTAATCAGACGCCACGCGAACGTCTCAAGCAAAACCACTGGCGCTCGCACAAAGGCTTGTACGGTTCGACAAGGTACTCTGCATATGTATGTGTACATGTTGTGCGCTTTCATCGACCCGAGGAGGGGCCGTGCCTTGTGAGGATTCATTATCCATCACCGTTCAAAGCATTGTGTCTCGGTAAACTGTTCTGCAGCTCGGCTCACTTGTGCCAAAGATGTGGGTAAGAGATACTTACAATGCCCGACATGCACGACGCAGGCACCGGGGGACCTGTAAATGTCAAAATCAGGTGACGTAGAATGTTGCTTGCTGACAAGTCTGGGAACCGCTTGCCAATTCGTCCACATCCTGGTGTCTCAAATCCACTGATTTGAGAGATTCCTTGCAAACACGGACGACTTTGGAAGAACGTAAAATTTGTGCGCTGACCGCTGCTCTAGTTCATCGGCTTCGCAAATTGTTTGGGCTCGGCTGCATCCCCTGGCCTCGGCTGACGTTGACCTTGCTTCTGCGGCTTTACATATCAAGAAGCTCATGAATCTCCCCTTCGGCCATTTACTGACTCTAATCAGTGCGGCTCTGTTCAATCCCTCTTCACGCTAGCGAGGCCGAATCTCAACCACGGTGGCAGTGTATTTCCATTAGTACCCGACCGAGACACTGGAGGATGGGGCCTGGAGAGGCAGAAGTGACACTTTTTGCAAGCATCCTACCCTTCAATCACGTAGGCGCGTGCCTGCTCCTCTTTCCATTTTGACTCTAATGTGACTCTCCCCTGCCTTCATTTTTCAGTCCTCGAGCAGCGATGCGACTCTTCAGTTGCTATATTGGAAGAAGTACCTGCGTGTCGAATCGAGGGCTTCTCCGCACCAGTACATTAGCAAAAGTCGTGCCTGGCGGTCCAGGACGCTGGGTACGCACATTCACCTTGTCCTCGAGTCGACGTGAGATGTCCGTTTGCATCAACGCAAATACCGTGCTGATGAGTTATATAACATCCGGTATCCGCCATTCGTTCGAACGTTTTGACGTCGAATGCGCGGAGTGGACCTAATCTGGCCTCCATCGTTTTCCCCTCGATTGCACTTGCCATCTTTCCAACTAATCCCATAAAATCACCAAGCCACGTACTTTCTCGGGAGCCCAAACGCGCCCGACGGCGGCAGCGCCTCGCCGACCATGTCGGAGGAGAAGTTGGAAGATGTCGAGTACATCGGTGGCGCGCCGTACGCACACCAGCTGACTGCGGGCCTTCACTCGCTCAACGACAGTGACCGCCAGCACGATGGCCCACTCACGATAGAAGATGAAATCGAGACTAAGAGGATCATGCGCAAGCTCGACTGGCGCGTGCTGCCCATCTGCTCCGTCCTCTATCTATTCTCGTTCCTCGACCGGTGAGACTGTTTCCTTCGCCTCGGGTCCAAATGTCACTGGGTTAGCCTGCTGACAAGTGGAAGACTTCCAACGAACGTAGCACTGCTATTGGCAATGCAAAAGTCGCAGGCATGAACGTCGAACTGGGAATCACAGCGACCGAATACGCTCTTGCGTATGTCCTTGCTCGCAGTGTCTAACCTTCGCATTGCGACGATCATTGACGTGCGTGTGTTTCAGTCTTTCCCTCTTTTTCGTCACGTACGGTCTTTTGGAAGTGCCGAGCAACTTGATGTTGAAGAAGTACGGCGCCAAGCTCTGGTTGCCATTCATTGTCTTTTGGTGGGGTGTCGTCATGACCCTCACCGGCGTTGTTCAGAACGCTGGCGGTCTCATCGCCGCACGCATCATGCTCGGTGCTGCCGAAGCTGGTCTCTTCGTATGTGTTACCGCGACATGAAAGAAGGATAGGAATGAGACTTGCACTTGAAGCTGACGGTAAATTCCTCTTGGCCCGTGTCGCAGCCCGGAGTCTCGCTGTTGCTCTCCTTCCTCTATCCGCGCGCTTACATCTCTTTGCGCATTGGAACCTTCTTCAGCGCTGCAACCGTCGCTGGCGCCTTTGGTGGTTTACTCGCATACGGTCTGTCGCACGTCAATGCCGGAAGCTACAGTGGTTGGCGATGGTTGTTCATCGTCGAAGGTCTGCTCACAGTGGGCGTCGCCATCATTTCGTATTTTTTGCTGTTTAGCAACGTCGACGGTGCAAAGTTCCTCACCGACAAAGAAAAGCACTATATTAAGGATCGGCTAACATACGACGGTACCGACGTCCCCATGAATGACGAGTTCGCCTGGAAGTTCGTCATAGCCGGTTTGATTGACTGGAAGACATGGGTCAGCTTGATCACCTACATCGGCACTGTCACTCCGCTCTACTCGATCGCTCTCACGCTTCCGTCTATCCTCAAGACGACACTTGGCTACGACGCGATCCAATCCCAGATTCTCACCATCCCGGTTTACTGTGTTGCGGCCATCAACGTGCTGCTCTTTTCTTATTTTAGCGACCGCACCAAGAACCGCGCGTACTTCATCTGCCTCGGCACAGGTGAGAGCTAGCTACGTGTCGCTCAATTCAGCCTTCGAATTCATTAACCAACCTCTCCTCGTATCTTCTTATCTACTTTGAAAGGGGTTTCGGCGATCGGATGGATCATGGGTTTCGCGTCTCGCAACCCCAAGGTGCGATACGCCGCCTGCTTTATCGGCGCTCTTGGCTCGTACGCCGGCTTTCCACCCCTCATTGCACTGCTCTCCCAAAATGTTGGCGGCAAGAGTAAACGCTCCGTTACCCTTGCCATTCAAGTAGGCATTGGAGGGATGTGTGGAATCATATCTAGCAATATTTTCCTGCCGCAAGAGGCACCGAACTATCCCACTGCGTGAGTTTTCGAGGCGTCAGAAGGGTGCCAAGAAAGTACGGGACCGTCTACTTATGGCTCTACAATTGTTGGCAGATACATTATCAACATCGCCTGCAACATCGTCGCTTTCTGGGGAGCCCTCGGCCTCATATTTATGCTCAGGCTCGCCAATGCCCGAAAGCAGCGCATGGTCGATAGCGGCGAAGCGGCGAAGCTGACGCGGAAGCAGCTCGCCGACCTGGGTGATTCGAGTCCTTACTTCAAATACCGCTGGTAGTGCGTCATCCTTGCTTGGTGGCGCCACGGTAAGGATCATCTTACAATTTTGCATCATGATCATCCGTAGAAGGCGATATATGTAGATGGAAAGCTTGCTATTTACGATTCAGTGCTTTAATTGCGGTGACTGGGCTCGCTCGGTATCAATTCACTCAAGTTTACTGGACTAGTTATACCAAATCATTTCTGCCATCTTTGCTTCCATTGTTGGCTGCGTTGAAGCGTTGTCTACGCTATCGTCGCCTCTCCTGGCTCACATTCTTGCATCTTCCTCATATGCACGATGGGATTGCGCACGACTTCGGCTGTTGAGCCCATATACACGATCAACATAGACGATGAAATATTTCTATGCTATTTTGATTACCTTTTCTTTTTGCGGAATGCGTTGCAATAACTTAACCCCCAGGGTGCCCTATCCCATCCGCGGCATCTCCAGCAGTGATCGCAAATGTTTGCTTATCCATGGAACGATCCACAGACCGAAAAATCTCCTTTAGACCTACGTAGCTGCTGATTCGTACTTCCAGACATTGCTTCCGCCAAGGGGAGTTTCAAGTGCGAAAGAATATCCAGTTCCACGCTCGAACTGACCTTGGATGGTATCAGTGCGAGTGGTGCTCAAGTTTAAAGATGCAGTGCCCCGTGAACAGCGGCCGCAAGTATAGTATCTGGGGTTTCCAAGAAGCGATTCGGCGCATGGCACCACCGCGAGATGCAAAAATGCTCGCCTCATTTATTCTTACACTGACTTGTCACCGTCCAAACTTACCAGCTCCAGCGTCGCCGATGCGCAACCCTTCGGATTTGTCATGCACATTAAGAGGACCGGTGCGAATCAGTAGGGTCCAAGCACATTGGACCGTTGTACAAAGCGTACGGTCGGATTGTGTGTTGAGAAAGCCTCCAGCACCGCAAGAGCGTCTGGCCTCCGCAGACTTCGGTTGCTGCAACTACGATTCTCTTTTATGTTATTTACATCCGGCGAAGGGGTTAAAGCCAAGACCCGCGGCTTGGAGTGCCTTCCTTTCCCGGCCGCGGAGAGGCGAGAGAGCAGGTGACTACCTGCCAAAACACAAATATTAACGTGCTCATTGTACTTCCTCCTGAACCGAAGTGCAGTCGCGTAAAGATGATCTAATAATCGTTTGGTTGATACGTGCAGAGTGCGACGTCTTCTCCCTGTTGTGGTTAGTAAGAACCATATAGAGGTCACCCGTCAGCTCCGTTCCGAGATATCCATCCAGATTACATACGTACATACCCGCGCACGCCTTTTCATCTCATTCTGATTTCAGGTAACTCAGCAAGCATGTTCAAGGGAGGGTTGCGTGCTTTCCACCGTGATGCACGACAGACACCTTTCGAAGTGGCCTGTCTATAGACGCCTCCGTTGCTCAGCGATGACACCTCGAAGCACGTGCCCGGTAGATGGCCAAGAGTCCACTTGCAATCGTATCAGCCACGCGTGGCCCCAGCTGCTTCTCCCGTCGTCTCCTAACGCTCATATTGAAACGCTGCAGAAAGTGCCACTTGACAGGACCAGAAATGATAAGGATCATTTAGGTGACGAACATGTCACAGCTATCACCTGCCAAATTCCAATGCTTCCTTCACTTTCTCATGACTTCAAATACTTGGATTTCCAACTGACGCTTTGAAGCCTGACTTTTCGAGATATGCACACGAAGCTCGCTCCTCCTGAATAGCTGCAACCGCGCGCTCACTCTCTCCTCGACAGGTGTGCAGCAAAGGATTTATCTTCCTGCGACTGATCGTCATGGCGAGCCCACCAACAAGGTCACCTGCTGAGCTGTTGCCGCAGCCGTTCGAAAAGCACCTGGAAGAAGGCCCGGCACTAGGATCAGGATCAGTATCAGCGGAGAAAGTACACGCTGTGCCCAATGCTTCGCTCACAGCCGAGGACGACGGGCCGTCGACCATTGAAGATGCCGCTGAAACGAGACGAATCATGCGCAAGCTAGACTGGCGCATTCTGCCTGTCTGTTCTCTGCTTTACCTCTTTTCTTTTCTCGACAGGTCGAGTATTGGAAATGCAAAGGTATGCACTTTGCCGCGCTTTGTCGCTGGCTTCTTGACGTGATCGCTTAAAAATCTCACCTGAAGTCTCTCGCTGCAATGTGCCGCACAGGTCGCAGGCATGAACAAGACGCTGCACCTGACGTCGTCAGAATACAACCTCGCAGTCTCGATATTCTTTGTGCTTTACTGCTTCCTCGAGGTACCTAGCAATATTGCGCTCAAGCGGCTGGGAGCAAAGACATGGTGAGCTGGCAGATGAACCAGTCGCAGCTTGCTAAGCGACGAATTACTGACACCCAATGTCCTGCAACTTGCCAGGCTTCCGATCATCGTCTTTGGCTGGGTGGGTGGGCTCGTGAAAATGGCATTAAGATATAGTAGCTTCTTATGGGCTGATTGCGAAGCTGCATTTCCGTTCTCTCAGGGGGTAGTCATGACTCTGCACGGTATTGTGCAATCTGCCACCGGGTTAACCGTAGCACGTCTCTTTCTTGGCGCTGCTGAGGCTGGTCTTTTTGTGAGAGATACAGGCACAGGCTAGCAAGGTCTCGCTAAGGCAATGCGTTGGTTCTCAACGTCTTCCCACCGCCATTCTGCTGCAGCCTGGTGTGTCGCTGCTTCTTTCCTACCTCTACCCTCGCTCTCACATCCAGCTCAGGCTGGGAATCTTTTTTGCCAATGCTACTATTGCCGGTGCAGTGAGTCGCTTGCTCGGCCCCAGACGTACAACGTGTCGTTGACGCTAACACCATGCCGGATGGGCACTGCTCAGTTCGGTGGGCTTTTGGCTGTGAGTGTCATTTGATTGTGCCTGACTGCCTGATTTTTCCGTCATCACACTGAATGTGCACTCTTCCTATTATCAGTACGGTCTGTCGTTCGTCCGCTCAAGCAATCTAGAGGGCTGGCGCTTCATCTTTATTGTCGAAGGTATTGCTACCTGCGTCGCTGCAGGGATCGGCTGGTTCCTTCTCTTCAACGGCTACGATGACGCGCATTTTCTCACTGCGTCAGAAAAGGCGTATATGGGCGATCGGATCAATTATGACGGGTATGTAGGAGCAAATTAACCATCGACAGGTATCGGCTGTTCAGACTTCATAGCTTACCAGAAACCCCTTTGTCGCTTGCGGTCTCCCCTTTTAGGACGGAAGTCGCCATGAATCAGTCCTTTCAATGGAAGTTCGTCTTGCAAGGTCTAAAGGATGTCAAGACATGGCTGTCCTTGATTACGTAGTTCGTTTTCTTTGACGTATGCTTGTGCATCTACCCCTCTACTGACTTCTCAAATCCACCCCACAGCATCGGGGTTTACGCGCCTGTCTACTCGATCGCCTTGACCCTGCCGTCGATCCTGAGCACTTCGCTTGGCTACTCGAGCGTCCGCTCGCAGTTGCTCACCGTGCCGGTGTACGGCTGCGCTGCGGTTGTCGTGGTCATGTGGTCATTCGCAGCCGATAGGCTGCGGAGCCGCACATTCTTCTTGCTCATGGGAACCATGCTTTCGGCGATTGGATGGGGTATCGGACTCGCGTCGAGCAATCCAAGGGTCGGGTTTGCAGGCGTCTTTCTCAGCGCTGCCGGAAGCTATGGTGGTGAGTGCTTCTTCATGTCCTTGCCCACACTATTCCTGCTGGCCTGAGGTTGTATTCTGCCATATGTACAGCTTTCCCTTCTGTGGTAGCACTTGTCAGCCAGAACGTCGGCGGGCAGACCAAGAGAGGAGTTGCGCTCGGCATCCTCGGTACGTACTCGCGCGCCATGGCTGGTCTGACGAAGCAGAGCCTAGGACTGACGGGGGCTGCATATTTGATGGAAACACTGCGTTCGCTAGTTGGTGTGGGTGGGCTTTGTGGCGTGATCGCGCCGAACATCTTCCTGGCGAGCGAGTCGCCACGCTACCCGACAGCGTGAGTCTGTCTTGGCTGGGCGACTATGGGATGAGGCTCTTTGCCGTTGTACTGACGCTCGGGCACCCGATGTTCTTTTTGGCGGCTAGTTACAAGATCAACATCGGTCTCAACGCCTTGGGCTTCCTTGGTGCACTGCTCAACGCCGCGTATCTGATCTGGGCGAATAAGCGCAAACAGCGGGCCATCGACAGCGGTGCGGCGGCCAGGCTGGGTCGGCAGGAGCTTGCAGACCTCGGGGATGAGAGCCCGTACTTCCGCTATAGGCTTTAGAATCAGCGGTTCGTAGATGCACTTCGGCCAATGTATGGAATCCTAAGGGCTGCATCAGTGGTAGGTCGCTGTAGAGCGACTCTGAGGGTCAAACGTGAAGGGCAACTATTGCAGAATGGCTGCGGAACGAACGCGCAGAGCAGCTTATAGAGGCGAGCCATTGTGATGTGCAACAGCAGCCGTGAGGCTGGCGCGATGTGCTTTTGGATTTCTCGCATTTCCACACGCGATAGAGCCGCTTAGTGAGGCGTGAGCCCAGAGTGCATCGCCTTTCCCAATCTCCGCGATGCATCTGGTCTTGGCTTTCCGTAGCGACAGCAGTAGCAGTGCCTGTGCTGTTGTGGGCGCCAGCGGCTGCACGTTCCCTTGCGATAAGCGTATGAGCCATACTGTGACGGCCGATAGCCATCCGAGCAAGGGGGTGGGGGAGCATTCCTTTCGTCATGTTGAGCTGGGAGGAAGGCGATGGGAGTGGGAGTCTTTTCGATGGTGTACTTGCTGGCGAATGCCTCGGTCTCTACACAAGTGCTGGCTGGCAGTGGGTGCAAAGCTTCAGGCCCCGGCGTGGAGTTGAGTGGGAAAGGTGGGATTACCAGTCCTCCCCCATCACCTATGCCCTACGTACGGAACATGCCCAGACGTTCGAGGCCGAACACTCCCCAGTAGTCCCTCCAGTGTGATGGGTATACTCTAGGTGGACGCGTCGAACGTGTCCGCGTGTCGCGTCGCGAGCCGCGGACGGCTGCAGCAGCAGAAGACTCTCTCCGATGTCCTGGCGCTGGTGACGCGTCTGGCCGCTGGCCAGCTGGCGCATGGCCCCCTTCGAATGTGGAGTCCAGTTCTTCTAACCTGGTTCCGCCCCCTCCCGAGGTCACACTGTCAAAATATAGTCGAGAGAGCAAGCTGGAGCCTGAATGCCATGCAACTATGACGCCGCTCACATGAAGCGTCTGTGCCGGGCCCTGGTGAGGTGATTTGCATAGCGAACGGAGACGCTTACAAGGGGCGTTGATGCACCTCGATTCGACGCTCGAAGAAAGGGGCATAGGTGCCATGACAGCGGACATGATCGTGGCCAGATCGTCCGGCGACTGGTCGACCAGCACGGGAACGACGAGCGAGGGCGGCCAAGAGTTCCCCAAGGCGACGCACGACCTTTGGGATGAGTGCAAGCGCAAGCGCGAGGAGGAGAGGAGCGAGCACATACCTGGCAGCAGAGCCTGGTGGGGGATCGAGCGCAAGGGCAGCTTCCAGCGCATCGCATCAGAAGGGCTGATCGACGATGGCGGCAGTGAGGCTGGGTCTTCGACGGGGGGAGCATCGAGGCTTATCAAGCGCATGCGCATCCATCCGGAACTCATGAAGGTGGGATTATGCATTCCATCGTCTTACTATTTGCACTGCAGCTGCTTACAGGAAGCTTACACAACTGCAGGAGAGTAACGACGGAGGGCCGACAGGCAGCGGACTGAGCACACGTACAAATTCGCCGGCTCCAAGCGCACGCTTTTCGCCTTTCGCTTCGCGGCCACCGACAATCGAGGAGACGCATGACTGGGAACGAGGGGGAGCAGCGCTAACCAGTAATGGAGTCGGTTACAGCGTTAACGGCGGTAGCGACTCGGCATTACACACGCAAGCAGACGAAATTCCGATGAGCCAAGCGAGCGACACAACGATGGTCAGCTCAGCAGGGATAGCCGAGGCGGACGGTAGCGCGTCTGGGTCTTTACAGTATTTGAACCAACCAACCGGGTTGAGCCCATCATTATCTTCTCGCACCCCGCAGCGGCAACAGCATGTGTTGGACTATAGGCTGACCATTCCTCCGCACATGACGGGTCATCCGCATCCGTACAACCAGACGCCGTACAGCTTCCAGCAGACCTTCAGCAGTGAGATGCATGTCGATTGAGCGATACCGCCGAGCGCGCTTGCTGTGGCGACCAACGACCTAGCTACCTTTGCGACTGCTAATGCCCATCGCCTCGCCTCGTCTCATCCTCTCGTCGGACATGTCAAAATCCAGGTCGAGGTGTGGTAGTGCCCTCACGACGTAACTAGGAAGATGGAGCGCGGACATATGCCCATATCTATGCTGGCCTGACACACTCGCTCCCTGTCCGCATGCTTTTGCGCTGAGGCAGGTCGTACCGTACGGCGCGGCTGCAGTTTCGCTTAGGTCAGGTCAAGCTGGCACTGGCAAGGGCACATACACAAACCTGCCTACTCGACCGTCTATTTCAATGTCCCATGGTGCCATGCGCAACGCAAGCAAGCAAGCCGCCAGCAAAGCAGAGCGAATCAAGATAGAAGGCACACTTCAGGCCTTTGCCGCGACGCTACAGCCCATGTTTTCTGGCATTCATGTATTGCAGGCATCACGACCATCGCACAAATTGTGCAAAGAACGAAGGATTTGTTCAACTCATGGAGAATCGGCACTCAGCCTGGCGGGAGCAAGCTGGCATCGACGGCCTCGAGCTCTTCCTGGACGTCATCGTTGGCGCTCCAGGCGCTGTCGATGGGGCTGCGCGGGAGGACCATGGTGCCACTGCGGGCGCACTCGAGGACGCCAAAGGGACGGACGAGCTTCAGGAAGGCGTCGCAGCGCGAGCTCTTGCCGCTCAGCTCGACGATAACACTGTCGTTGCTGACGTCAACGACGCGGCCCTTGAACTGCTCAGCGAGCGAGATGATCGAGCGCATGTTGTCCGACTTGACGCGCAGCGCCTCCGTCGGCGTCAGCTGCACTGTGTGCTGCTGCTGATGGTGGTAGTGCTGATGAGCAGACGAAGCATTCGCCTCCCGCTCGGCGACGTGCTCCGAGGGGATCTTTTGCTGCTGACTCCTGCCAGCTGCTGCTGCTGCTGCAGCCGCAGCGGCGGCAGCAGCAGCCGCTGAGCCGCCAGCGGCGGCGCTGTGGAGGCTCTCCTCAAAGTACTCGGGCCCGAGGATGCTGACCTTGACGAGCATGAGCTCGCGCTCGATGACACGCGTGTGCGTGTAGTCGAGCACGGCCCAGACGGGTACGAGGTCCTCGAGTTGGCGGCGCGCCTGCTCAACAACGCCGTCCTGGCCGCGGAGGACGATGCACATGCGCGACAGGTCCGCGATCTCTGTGCGGCAGACGACGAGAGAGTCAATGTTGAAGCCGCGCGCGGCGAGCGTGCCGGCGATGCGCGACAGGACACCGGGCTCGTTCTGCACGAGCGTGTTGAGGATGTGGCTGGCGGGACGGGACATAAGGAGGAGAAAAGGGTGGGCATCAAATTTTTGCCCCCGATCAGACGCTGCTCGCTCTCGCCGTACGGGCGCACTCACCGTTTGAAGGGCTCCTTACTGGGGGCGGGTGTGTTGTAGAGGATGTTGCTGACGGCCTCGCTGGCCTCCATTGGCGGCGGCTCGAGCGAGGGGAGCGGTGGGAGGCGACGCAGGCGGTGGTGCAGCTTGTAATCGAGCGCGGATGTGCTGTCGCGCTGCGAGGAGGAGGAAGGGTCTCTTTGTTGTTGCTGCTGCTGTTGGGAAGAGGAGGAGGCTGGTGATGACGCAGATGAGCAGGAGAAAGAGGTGGAGAAAGCTGCGCGCAGAGCGTATCCACTGGGCTCTGCAGCAGCTGCTAAAGTGGCGCCGGAGCGCACAGCAGCCGCTCCTCTGCGAATGGATGGACCGAGCAGCATGGTGCTGATGCTGCTGCTGTATAGCATGGATGTGTGCGCCGCCAGCCTGTCCGGAAAGAAGCAGCCGGAGGCGGAAGATGGAGATGTTACAACAAGACGCTCCTCTCTCCCGAAAGGTGAGGACGGAGTGCCGAGTGGTCACCGGTGCGACGAGAAAATGAACTGAGGTGTTCTCTCTCTCATTCGCATTGCCGCGCGCTTTCTCCGCTTGCCGGAGAGGGTAACCCTAACCCTACTTTCCTAGCGACCATTTTTTGGCCGAGGGAAATGCTGTCCCGCCGCTGCAAGGGGCTGTTGTCTCCTTGCAGCTCACCCGCCCACGCGACGCAACCGATGAGCGTCGTGTCGAGTCGTCAATGCCCTTTTTCCCTTTTCCTTTTCCTTTTTTTTCTTTTACTTTTACTTTACGTTTACTTTCTTTTCCTATTATCTTCCCACACGCGACGTGACGCGCTGTGCTGTGCTGTACTGTCTTGGGAAAGAGCGACTGCCGCGGCGCCCAACCCAACCCTTCCCCCCATTCGATCCTCTGTAGAAGCGATGTCTCTGACCTCGTCTGGCAGGAAGAGTGTCCTCTCCTCTCTCCCCTTTGCATTCTGTCACTCGGGTACATGGACGCGACACCACCACCAGCACGACCAGCATGACCACCACTCATTCTCACCTCGACCCAGCCTAGCTTAGTCCAGCCCAGCGCGTTCCTCTTACCCCATCCATCCACCCATCCACCCATCCACCCATCCATCCATCCATCCGTACCAGGGCAGATATTGCCACCGGCAGCGCAACCCACCGAGACCGGATTGAGAGCCCTGCACGCACAGGTGCACGACGGGCGGCGCGAGCGTGGCATAGAGACACGCGAGGTGAGCAACGCCGGGACTCTCCCTTGTCCACCCGCGCTGACACGCGTCGTTCCTTGCCGTCCGGAGCAGCAGCAACGAGCATCAGCCCGCCTCTCGATGCCGCCCACGAGCACGCGTCGTCGTCGCGCAGCAGGCGCCCAGCTGTCGGCGCGTCCAGAGCGACACAGCCACCGTCTTCGTCTTCAGCAGCAGCGGCGAAACTACCCGTCATGCCATCCATCATAGCAGTAGCACCCACATCCACATCCGTCACGAGCACAACGAGCGCAGCCGCAGTCGATCACGACGACCTCTTTGCGCGTGCACAGGCCATGGGCCTCCGCACCACGCGTGAAGAGTACGAGCGCACTCGCGCAGGTGTCACCGCTTTCCTGCGCGCCGGCAGCAGCACCGCTTCCGCGGCGACTTCGCAGACGCATGCGAGCGGCGGCTCGCCCGGCGCGGCGGGAGGAAGCCCCACCCCCATGGACACACTCGCGCTGCACAGCAGCCTCGGTAAGGGAAACAGTAGCGTCATGTTCGGTGTCGGTGCAAAGATTGGAACCGCGAGTACGGCGGCGGCGCGCTCGGGTGCAGCAGCAGGACCATCATCCTCATCAGTAGTAGCAACAACAGCAGCAGGAGGCGGGTTCAGCGCATACAGGCGCCCGGCGAGCGGCGCTGCCGGCTCCACGGGCATCGGCGGCAGCACCAGCAGTCCGATGCTCAGCTTCTTCACCGCCAGCATTTCGCACATGGCCGCCATCAACAGCAGCGGCGGCAGTGCACTTGCCAGTCCCGCTGCCACTGCATGCACCTCGGACGCAGATGCAGATGCGGACGACGGTGCGGGTGCGGACGTCCGCGCCAGCACATTTGGCCGAGGGAAGAAGACCGCCGGCGGCGGCGGGCCGGCGCAGAAGCAGCGCGTTGCGAGCGCCGCCCCTCGATTCGCACCAGCAGATGCGGGGCGCGGCTTGTCCGCCAGGTCGCCAACATCAGTGGCGGCAGCGGCAGGCGCCATGACGCCGCGCACGCTCGAGCAGATGGGCAAGGAGGAGGAGCGGCGCCGGCGCAGGGACAAGCAGCGCCGGTGCAAGCAGCAGCAGCAGCGAGGGGCACCAGCCGCAGCTAGTAACGGTGCAGGTGCTGCTGCTGCCACAGACGCAGATGCAGGTGCACCTGCAGCCGTCGGTCTCGGCCTCGGCCTCGGCCTCGGTCTGGGCATCGGCATCGATATGGACGTCGGCAGCGGTGCGCATGCCTCTAGTGCCGACGCAGAGCGAGCATCCGTCTCGGCGCAGCAGCCGCAGGCGTGCATCCCCGTCACCCCTTCTGCACAGCAGCAGCAGCACGGCTCCTCAGCAGCAGGCGCAGGCAGCCGGCCGTGGGTCAGTCCCGGCGGGACGATGCGCATGGTCGCTACACCACTTGTCCCTGCGTCTCTATCTGCAGCATCGGCATCAGCATCGAAATCGGCTCGGGGGGTGCGCGATGGCCGTGCGCGTGCGCTGCAGCGCAGGAGCCCGATGCACCTTGCGGGCCCCGGCGCCGAGGACAGCCCCGTGCTCGGGGCCGAGGGCGGAGGCGGCGGCGCCTCGCGCAGGTTCCAGCAGCAGCGGAGGCCGCACGGTGGCTACGTCAGCAGCGGCAGCAGCAGCAGCCCGAGCATGAGCACGGGCGTGCATATGCATGTGAACGTCGCCGCGGCGACGCCGCTCTCGACGTATGGACGCGCGGGCAACCTCACGCGCGCTCTGCCGCTACATACTTCTCGCTCGCCGTGCGTCGGTGACTCGTCGTTTGAAGAGGAGCAGGAACAAGAGCGAGACGCGGATGCCGACGCTGATATGGACATGCCGCCGAACGACTCGGGCGTCTTCTTTGATCAGCTCGACGCGCAGGAGGAAATGGACAAGCTCGCGTCTGAGCGCCACCAGTTGCTTCAGCGCCAGCAGCAACAGCGTGGGCTGCCACGCAGGCGCGCACGGCTCGACTCGGCTGACTCGGCCATCTCTAGCACTAGCGCCAGCGCGGCTGCAGATGCGAGTGCGAGCGGCAAGAGCCAGCAACAAGAGAAAGGTCAAGAAGGAAAGGACAAGGACGCGCCGCCGTCGTCGGCGGTGCTGCTGCAGGAGGAGATGGGCCGCATGAGCTTTCTCGACTGCGTTATGCAGCACAAGAGCAGCCCTGTCCGTCTGCGCAAAGAGGCCAAGGCCAAGGAGCGCGCGCAACGCGAGTGGCAGGAGGTGCGCCGTGCGCTGCGTACAGCGCGTCATTGTCGGATAATGCGACAAGCAGGGACTGATTTTCTTTCTTCCTTTTGATGTTCTTCATTACAGGCGATGCTCCAAGCACAGACGAGCGCGGCTGCTTCCCAGAACAACGCTGCTGCAGCGACAGTAGAAGCGCAAGCGAGCAAGAGCGTCCGCTGGGCCTCCAGCGTCTACAGCCCTGCGACGCTCGACGCCTACCAGGGCGGCGGTGGCGGTGGGCACATGCGCCTGACGACGCGCGAGCACTACGACTTTATCAACCACGGCATCCATCCACTCTCATCCTCAGCTGCGGCCGGCGACGCAGACGGCCTGAGCATGCTGACACCCAGCATGCTCTCCGCCCCCTGGCCCGAGGCACACGTCGAGATGCTGGCCAACATGAGTGCGCAGCGCGCTGCTGCTAATGCTTCTGCTAGTGCTAATCCTGCGGCGGCCTCGCCGAGTACGGGCGCTGGCGCCGGCGCAAGCGGCGACATCGAACTTGCTGCCCTGCGCCACTCCAGCCTCAGTCTCGGACAAGGCAGCCCGCTCCTCAAGATGCAGTCCAGCACGCGATCGACGACCGACAAGGTCGATGGAGCAGGTGAGCGGCATGCTTCAGAGTCGCCGCTCCTCAGCAGCCTCTCGGCATTCCGGCCCTTGTCGGCGATGCGGTCCGAAGTGATGCACGCCCAGGCACAGGCACACCATCGAATACGCACGCCCTCCTCGTCTGGCGCCACCGCAGCCGTGCGCCGCGCTGTCATCTTTGCAACCAACAGCCAGGGTCAGGCCCTTATAAGCCCTGTGCTGGCAGGCAGCGCCGATGACGCGCCGTTTGGCGCGTCGATTGGCTCGCCTATCCGCGCCGCATTGGGCTTCTTCAGTGCATCGCCGCCCAAAGCCGGCAGGCCGTGGACTACTGTATCGCAAGGCCATAGACGCACGCCGACCGGCGGCACGCCGACCGGCGGCACGCCGACCGGCGGCACGCCGTCGCTCGCCTGTGCGCCGTTCGGCCGGGTCGGCCCATCGCTCGCCCACTCTGACGTCATACACGATAGCGCCGAGTCGTCAGCGCACTCTCGCGAATCGACGCGGAACGAGTCGCGGAACGAGTCGAGAAATGAGCTTGGTGCCCACGCCGCTGCAAGCGAGGGTGACCATCATATCGTCTCGTCGCCGATGGTCGAAGAGCTGCTGGCAGGCAAGGGCGGGGGAAAAGAGCGAGGCGTGGTGAAAGACGTGCAGCGATGCTCGGTCGACGGGCAAGAAGCCGAGTCTCATACTGATGGTGCTGCTGCTGCCGAGCCGCTAATGGCCGCTCGTCAGGACAGCGACGCAGCGTCGACCAAGAGCGCAGGGAACAAGGCTGCCCAGGGCAAAGCTGGGAAAGGCAAGAAAGGGTCGAACAGTAACTTGAACACCGCTGCTAACTTTGACGACGCCTCTCCTGCTCCGGCGTCCATCACGGAAACACCTGCGCGCGCCCCCGCCGCCGTGCGCTTCCGCAAGGCTCCTGCAGACGCTGCCGGAGTGGCGGCGACCAAATACACGCTTCCTGCGCCCGGCCTCGTCCGAACGATGGAGTGGGATCGCGCAGACGGCTCACGTTTGGTCAAACTCGTTTCTGAAGAGCTGCAGCAGGCGATGGAAAAAGGTGCGATCGCAGAGGAACCAGAGCCACGCTTTTACGTCCTGCCTCCGTTGTGGGGCACATCTAAGGCCAAGCCTGCGAGTGCGTCGTACGCTGGCTTGATCGGGCAAGCCATCTTGGCATCTTCCGACGGCCGTCTGAGCCTGGCGGAGATCTATGCCTGGATCAACACCACTTTCCCCTTTTACGAGCGCGGAGAACGCGGGTGGCAAAACAGCATCCGCCATAACCTCAGCCTGAACAAAAGCTTTTATAAGATCGACCGTGAGGCCACTCTCCCAGGCAAGGGTGGCTGGTGGGCCATCCAGCCCGGGCATGAAGAGCGGTTTCAGGGCAACATCTACCTTGCTACACCTGCTCGCAACGATGCAAGCACCACCCCGTCCAAGCCAGGCAAGCAGCCCAAGACACCTTTGTCGACGCGCGATGGTGCCAGCTATCCCGGTACGGGCGGCTCGAACATGTCGGTCGACAGCGGTATCCTTTCTTCTGTCACCGGCTCAGCTGGGCAGCGGCGCAAAAGGCAGGACTCAGGCGGCGACTTACCCGCGCAGGCGCAAGTCGACAATCCTTCCTCGTCGGGCCCGTCAGGAACGGGCAAGAGCGTCGGAAAGCAGCCCAAGCGCCTCAAGCTGATCGCACGCCGGCTTCCGTTTGAAGAGAAGATGTCGCCATCTGGTAACGCACCAACCACTTCAGCCCCAACGCCTGCAAGCTCTGCTGTGGCCATAACACCCCTCCGCCCCGCGCATATCTATGCGCCTGAGGGAAGCGGCCAGAGCGCCGTGCCGATGCTGACGGACAGTGCCAGCAGCCCGCCTAGCTCTCCTTTTTATCACACGACCAACATGGCTGCGCCAGAGTCCCAGAGACCAGCAGCAGGCCGGAAGCGCAAGGCGGTCGAAGCGGTAGAGACAGTCGGGGCACCGGCAGACTTCCCCATGACGACGACTACGACTAACCTCAACACCTCGTCTATCTACACCGCCATGCCCACATCCTCTCCAATGCACTTCAATGGCTCGCCCATTGTTATTCGCGGCTCGACTCACCAAGGCAAGGGTGTCTATACGACGACCATCCCGATTGGACGAGGGCGTGTGCCTGCCAGCGAGCATCCTGCTTCCTCGATGGCAATGACAAGCTCGCTAGCGCAATCGCCTGTCTCAGCTGCTCGCGACGCTCCAGGTCCAGGCCCTGGCCCGAGCCCCGGCAGCATGTCTAACGTGAACGAGCAGTCGCCCGCCAATATTCGTTCAATAAGCCTTCGAGGGTCGCCCATTAAGAGCGGCGTGCCGTTCTCCATGAGCCCGACTCGCGCTTCGGTCAGCGGTAAGGGCCTAGTGCAGTCTCATCCTGGAATGCCGATGCCGATACACATGATGCACATGCAGCCGACTCCCAGCGGGCTCGCTAGCATGCAAAAGGCGCTGGCCGTGCCTAACACCACTCCTGCGCGCGCCGCCTTGGCTACTGCAGGCGGACGTTGGAACAGCATGACAACGCCCTCTCCCATGCGCCGTGTGCAGCCAGGCCAATCCGCAGCAAGCAATGGTGCCGCTGGCCCTATACCCTGGCTCGATGACCCTTTCGACTATCAGGGAAATCTGCAACATGAGCTCGATTTTGCCATGGATAGCCTCGGATCAGTGACCGAATTCACGAGCCCCATGCGTGGCATGTGGCCCGATCCGAACACCGCGCCCATGAACATGAATTTTACTCATCCTCATCAAGGTTGATTTCCTTCCATGATCCATGATCCAATATCCAAGTCCCGATGGTTTGTATTGCAAAGCACGTTTGAGTATCATGTATTATCGCACTCGCATATGTATGAAGTTAGCACGACTGAAATAATGATGGCAACGATCTATGGCTCGGCGTGTTGAAGCGTCATCTTGTCGAGACAGTAGTACGCCAACCCCACATGGTCTCCCTTTGGGGCGACTGGCCGGCCCTGGTCCTCTGCTTTAGCCTCGCGTTTGAGAGGTGTCGTTGTGAAGACAAGGTCGAACAATTTGCGATCCGTTGCGCCAATGATAAAATCCAAGTCGAGCGCCAAGCTGAACGTCGGCGACTTGGATGGGTAGCCCGCAAATGCGGACCAACCCGTCTTCGAACTTGGCGGCAAGGTGTTGAACAATTGCACTCTGTCTGGCAAATCGCCGGAGGTGTTCGGCACAAAACAGTCATGTGCATGCCGCGTGTCGAACACTTTGACATTTCCCGACGTAGCAGTGCCGGCAAGGATGTGTGTCCCATTCCCGCCGCCGATGGCGAGCGAATAGATCGCAGAGCTGTCGAATCGGTCGCGGAAATGCATCATTGGGCACAACGTCTTGAAAGAATGCAAGGGGTAGACGGCGTCTTCACCCCCAAAGAGATTGTCGCTCGAAAACAACGGTTCATCGCACACAGCTGGAACTGCTAAGCTGTCTTGTCTTTTAAGTCGAAGATGTCGGCCAGTAACACTCGCTGTAACTTGACGTAGATCATAAACGCGGACGACGGCATCATAGAAGCCGGCGACAAGCATGTCGGAATGAAGCGGTGCCTGGCATTCCTTTGAAGGCTGCGCGAGTGCAAAAGTAGATGTCACCCTACACTGGCCCTGGCCACCAGTGAAGGGGATTCTGCTCTTGCTTGGCTCTGGCCTGCCACTGAACGTATGCAACGTGTTCAAGATGATGGGCTCGCATGGCCGATGAGAAGTTGGATGGAGTGGAAAGAGAAAGAGCGCTTCCGCCCCCTTGCTGCCGATAGCAAGCCACCGTGGCGCTTGACCGTGTGGCGCCCCTTCATCGAGATGACATGACCAGCATTGCCGACCCATTTTGAAATGCCAAAGCAAACGCCATTCTAGAATTAATTGGTCTTCCTCATCTCTGTCGGCCTTGAACAAGCATATTGTACCGTCCCTCGTGACGCTACAAACGAGGTCGCGACTATGCGAGAGTGCCTGGACAGATTGGCCTGTGCTGGACTGGCCCATACCAAAACAGCGGCGTGGACCATCTAAGGTCGACAGCTGTGTGGCCTCGAAAGTGAGCCTTTTTGGTGCGTATTGCTGCCACGGAGCAGATGGGGTTTGACTGGCACTGCTCAGCCTCGAGCTCTTTGGTCGTGTGGAGAGACTTGTGGGGAGCTGGTAGTGCTCAAGGGAGCCGTCCACGCGACCGACGATAAAATTTGTTCCAGCCGAATCTATCGCACAGCAAGCTGAGATGTTCTTGGTGGGATTCACCGCCGATTTGGAAGCCCATTCCCCCGGTCGTCGACGCATTGCTTGCCATCTCGTAAGAGGCGCTGACTTGTCTGGCAAATCTACAATCTGTGCATCATCCATATCGATGCCCGTCTTTGAGAGCTCAGGAGCTGCCCACCGTCCATCGGCATGGTTCCGTTCGCGAAGGCAATTCTTGAGATAGTTTGTATGCCAGACCCGCACCTCAGAACGGAGAAAGAGGAGCAACCAATCTTGGCCCAGTCGAAGGAACGGCTCTACTGCCTCATCTCTCGCTTGTCTCCAGTATCCAGCATGGCATCCATTCGAACGATTCGCCCCTCCGAAGGTGGCTGTCTGATTGATCGATGCACGGTGTGCCACAAGTCGTTGCTTTTGCCAAGAGACGTTGTTGAGATGATAGCGTTGGACTTTGTATCTCCACTGGCAAAGAGCTTCCCCATCAGGTTGGCAGGCAGAGATAGAACCCGGCTTTCCGAAAAGCCAGGCCTTCCAACCTTGAACTTCGACAAAGAGATGCAGTGACTTACACGTTGACGACAAGGCGATCAATGAAATGGGCGGATCCTCGTCACTGAATTGGTTGGCGATCTGCAGTAGGATCTCTGCTGGTAGGAGATGCAGTGCAATCCGCTTCGTCTCGCGCGCGCACAGCCTCTTCGCCTCCCTGCCGTCTTCGCACATATCCCAGACGTTTCTTCATAATGCGACGATGGCATATGGTCAGAGAGAGCTCAATGTCTTTGAGCAGCACCAACTCCCTTATAATTAACACAACTGGGACATTCGTGTTAGCATGTGCGGAGAGAACTGGCGTTACGTAATGATATTTTGAAATCGTGAGTCCAAAACTGCTTTCCCCCCCCCAAAGCGACAAGCCCCAGGAGTGATGACTGGTGAGCTTGATCTTCTGGACCTTCAAGGGTTCACAATTCACAGTGGCACTTCCTACTTGCTCATCACGGATCCCTTCCCCCGTCTCGCTGGAGTGGCCATCGCTTTTTCTTACTCATCCGAATCCCAACAAACGAGACTGCTAATCGTCAACGTGCGCCTGAGACAAAAGTCGTGACGGATAACCGGGCAGAAAGAAGAGCCATACGAAGATGCATCCCGTGAGTGCGCCGCAATTATTTCGACCTCGAGGACTGCGGTTATATATTCACATACGTATCTATGGTCCGAGCAGCACCTTAGCAATGATTCCAAGCAGCTGGCCTGCGCTAGCATTATTCAAGCGCTCGAGGATTGCCACAAGCAAGGACTGATGACCAAGATGTCTGGCAAGTGCAACCCTATCAAGGATGAGCTGATTCAGTGTCTGCGCAAAGAAGTGAGGCATGACGTTACAATTTCCTGGGCGGCTCTTTTGTATTGCAGTACATGGCTACTGATGAGAACTCTGTTTCTCCTTTTTTCCATTTCGATCTCGTCCGTCGCAGCGTTTGGAGCGAACAGCAAAACATGTTCAGAAAGGCAAAGAGCGGAGAAGGAAGACCGAAGAGATCTGGCGCGAGATTGATGGAGACAAATGAAGGCTGCTTTGATTTGGAACGGGTCCTATAAACAGTTTCAACTCATCCTTTGCCCTGCCCCATTTTCGAGAAAGGGTAGCTTTGGCAGCGGCATGCGAGTACATTCCTAATGGTGGTACTCTATGGCTTTGCTCTTTCGACTCGCGCAGCCAACCAAAGGAGCTGAGCTGCGGGAAAAACAAGTTCGCCCTCAATCACGTTCAGCACCTCCCCACCTCCGTGTATTGAATCTGCGACGTCCCTGCAGCGAGGATTCCACACCGTGGAGGCTCACGCACTCGCGTGCTTCCTAACGCCACGGTGCATGGCGCAATTGGCCGGTGACCTTCTGCTCGACATACGAGCGGACAAAGCCCCCGCTTCTACTCAGCTGTTGCGTTCCGTCGCTACCGGCCCGCGCACAGTGATTACACGGCTCAAATTGGCACCCCGGGAATGATTGCCTTCAAGCCTAGAAGGATGGAAGGAGGAAGGGCGCTTGTCGGAGCACTCCAGGATTATGCGTCTCGGTGTTCGCGGCATACAACGAAGCGCTGCATAACTTTTCTCAATCGTGTAGCGTAGTAGGCAGCAAGACAATGAAGAGAAAGTCTATGCTACATCTACACAGCGCGTTGCAGCTTTTTCCTGGCCCCGGCTCGACGCTGAGCAGGGTAATTTTTATCTATTAGTTGCGAGATGCGAAAAAATTATTATAGAGCAATCAAGAATGGCAGGAAGCGTGTCCTAATTAGCGGAGCATGTGGTAGAAGCAGTTCATCTATGCTAGGAGTAGAAACGAAAAAACCAGCGCAGGATGTCTGCAGTCCACCCTTGAATGACCGTACGTAACCTTGATTGACTACTGAGAGCAGGCCGGCCTGGCAGACCGTTCATGCAAGCCTTTCCGTCTGATAAATCTTGACGCTGTTGATGAGCCAGTACGCCTCAGACAAATCGGTGCTGTTTCCGTGCATGTAGTCGGCACAGCTCGCCACGCCGGTCTTGGCGGCGCACGACTGCGTCTGGCCGTTCATGGCGGTGGACCAAACGGAGCTAGCGCCAGCCCAGTCGCCGCAGAGCGTGTTGGTGAAGATTGCCACATGGTTCCAGAAGAAGGAGCTCATGGTGCAACTCGTCGCAGGCCAGCGGCCGGTCGGAGTTGGCCAGCCGGTGGGATCGGGCGTGCCAGAGGAGACGTCGGACGGAATAGACGCGCGGGGGAAGAACCAGATACTGATGCCTTCGTCTGCGTCCCAGAGCATGGCGTGCACGCCGCCGCCGTCGGCGTTATACTGCACACCGTAGTCGCCGGATGTGGTGGACATGATGCTGCAGCCTTGGTTGTTGGTCGTCAGCGAGTCGCAGCTCGTGCCCGAACTGCCCAGCATCAGCTCGCCGCTGTAGCCCAGCGTAGACGCGGACGATGACGACAGTGAGCAGCCCGAAGATGTGTGTATCGAGACGAGATTTGCAGAGTAGTCATTCACGCCCTCTATAAATAAAAATGGCGAACGGGCCGGTCAGCGGCGACGGTCAAAGCCAAAATGTTGAGAAAGGAAAAGAGCGACGCACCAACAATGTCAATCTCTCCACCCACAGGCCAGCCGGAAGATCCAGGATCGGCAGAAAGTGTCCAAAAAGCAGGCCATACACCACAGCCGCTATGGGTGTTGCAGCGAGAGATCCACACGGGTTTGTCAAACAGTAGCCTTCGCGACTAAGGGCGAAGAGAGGCTCACACCGGTATATGCGTGGCATCAAGGACAAAAAGACCGTGCGTATGCGTGTCCACGGTGGAGATGCGGACAGACTGGCGGTTACCGTCCGTATCTGCATCTGCAGCCACTTTCACTGCAAATGTCGTTCACAGCGGAAGTATTCCGAGACCGCGTTTCAGCCTGAGCAGGGAAAGAAAAGAAGATAGCCTTTCCTGAACACTCACTCATCGCACGCCCATCTTGGATTCCAATCAGACCCGCAGACTGCGCCTGCGCCTGCGTCGTGTATTGCACCATTCCATGTGTCGGGTCGGCGTTGGAGAAGAAGGTCCAGCCGTCGAAGAAGGTGTCTCCACTGCAAAAAGAATATGAAGAGGAACACACGTCAAGTGCAGTCCATAGCTTGCGTGCGCGGCGCCATTCCTCACGAGTAAGAATTGACCAGCGTAAAGTTGGTAGCGGTGGCTGTCGTGGCTCTCTTGTGCATGCGATGTGAAGGCGTAAACCTGGCGTCTACACTGATGAAAGTAAGGCTGCAAAGCACAACAGCAATGGTGGCTGTGACAACCGGTTTAACCAGCTGCATCGTGATGCTCTCCTGAGTGCTTGAACCGCGCATCCTCGCGCACTTCTTCTAGTCTTTCAAATGGCCTGACTTGCGATGGCGATCCTGCGGCTGGGTGCTTGTATGTGAATGTCTGCTGAAGATGGCGATGTCGAAAAGGGAATGTGTATCAGACTTTGGTTTCTGAGATGAGAGGAAGGATGAGCGACACAGAGAAGAACACAGCGAAGCAAGCAGGCTGAACGGTGAAAGCGTACAAATGGGATGCACGGTGGTGCTTCTGGGACTGACTGCGTCTTTCGCCTGAGCTCCCTTTCTTTTATATGAGTGGAAGATGTGAGCCAGTGAAATATGTCCATGCAGTACTGGATGCGTGCTGCATGTATGTGTTAACTTGTAGACTGCGGCGATGGCACGGTCTAGGGTCGAGCGCTCTGCGCCGGGGCCACCAACCTGTCTGTCGTCAAGTTCGATGGTAGTATGTGGAGTGATGTGAAAGGCCAAGTTGTACGCAGTCTCGCCCCATCGCCTTGTCAATACCTAGCAGTGCGGCAAGCAGGGCCGAATAATCTCTTGGCTTTGCTCCCAATAGCCTTACACCTGCTGCCAGACAGTGGAGCAGCACACAACACGCGTGGGGAGCGGGTGGGCGCGACACAATCTACAGCGCGAAGAGGCTCACTTGTATGTGAGTGAGAGTGGAGATGTGCACGCTGTGCAGCGCAAGGTGCTGGGACTTGACTGTTGAGAGATTCATGTACATGAGCTTTGGCTGCGGACGCTGCAGGGCAGTGCGGTATGCCTTGCGTGTCCGTATAGGTGTCGATGACGGGCCGTAGAGTCACCTGCCTGAGCGTTAGCATTGGATTCGTTGAAGAAGTGGTGTTGATCAATGGACTTCCTATAAGACTAAAAAAATCAAACGGTCAGACACAAGCAACCGGCTGGAAGCTGCTGATACAACGCCAAGAAGGGGGACAAGTTTAGCTCAGCGTAGAGCGGTGCTGCACTGTGCGGTTGTAGCTCAGCTATAAATAGGGCTCTCAATGAAAGGTGAGCAATCCCCCAAGCGGCGTTACTTGCGACCTTTCTCTTTCCGCGGTATTTGTTTGTAATCATTGTCGTGATTGCTTGTTCTTCAGGAACCAGGGCATCGCCTTGCCTGCGCGATTCACAAAGTACACAGGCCAGACAGAGTGACAATAGGGCGCGACGATTGTGCTGGCACGGCGCAAGAAAGACGTGCGCCAAGCGCCTTAGAGGCCCTCACAACTGCCTCGTGAAGGAAGCTTCCGGAGAGAATCCGTGACTGATTACCGCGGCAAGGCTGATGCGCTGATGGACGGGCGACGGACAAAGACGAATGAGCTTGAAGCTGTCTTGACCTTTGAACCATACAGTTAATTCTGTTGAGTTTCTCGGAGGCTCCGGGAGGTTCAGCTGTTGCTCAATAGAACCTCAGACAGATATCATCCGGCCGACATCCCATAACGACCGACTTTTTCTGTTATCAGACACACACACACTGGGCATACCCTTAGGCGGGTCAAAAACGCCGGCCTGATTGCAAACGGTCTATGATACAAATTGCACGGGAAACGCGTGGAGATTTTCAAAGAAATCCGAAGTAGATTTCCGGTTGCGGCACCATTGCATACACCCGCCCGCCCGTCTCCCTCGAGGTGATGGGACGCGCCTGTGCTCAATGATGCCCAGTAGCGTGATGATGGTGCGGCTCGAGCCAGCTTCGGACTGTTTCATACGTCCAGAAGCTGACTCCGATCGATGGCGCTACCTTGAGCAGATTTGGCCACAGACCTCGATATAAGCCTCGGACGCCGTCTTGTCGGACAATCGTGCGGAAGACGCCAAAGGATGCTGCAGGAACCATAAAGAACGACGAAAAAATTATCAGCAACCATTTCACCGTGTAGGACTCTGGTTTTTGCAAGTACGATCCTAGCACTGACTTGTATCTGAGTAACCCAACTGGCTGTCCCTCATACCGGCGACTTGCAATCTGCGTCGCAGCACGTCGAGCGGGTACGTAAGCGTCTGGCTGACCGAGCCGGCCGCGGCGCCGCAGCCGAGCTTTGACAAGTCCGAGATCCTGCCTTCATCGTCTTCGAACCGTTCCCGTAGCGTTTCGTAGCCGATAAAGTTGAGCGACACGTACGGTGCGACGCCCTAGAGGGAGAGAGGGAGGCGACGAAGAGCGAGACACATTGGTGAGTGGTGGACGTCAGCATCGTCTTTCGGGCATCTTTGAACAATATCGGCACTCACTGCACTCGTAGGCACACAGCCACGGTAGAGCCCACGTACGCCTCCTTCCTCGCGATACACCTTGAGAGTCATGGCCCAGATACCGGGCACGCGCTTCTGCTTCGCCCTGAGCTCTTCGCGCCGTTTCTGCCCCGTGGCGGCCACCACAGTCGTTGTGTGCGTCACTGAGCGCGCACCAGCCGCGACGGAGGGGGCGGAGCCCAGCAGCTTGTTTCCCGCACTAAGCGTGCTCGCGCTCGTGCTTGAGGCCCCGGTCGCGGCGCTGAGCCGTCCCTGCTCCGCCGCCTTTGCTTCCGAGTACAGACTCGCGCTGGCGATGGAGATGCGACTGCGCACGAGGTCGAGCGGGTAAGTGGACACGACGCTCGCGATACCCGCCAGCGCACCCGCCGTCAGCCGCTCCCAGACGGCGAGCTCGCTTATATCATGGGCGTGTCCTCCGCCGTTCCCAGCGTTCTGCCCATGTCCGTGTCCATGCCCATGTCCGTGTCCATCGACGTAATGTGAGCGCAGGAACAAGTTTTTTAGCACCTCGTAGCTGCTAAACTGCACGGCCGAGTACGGCGCGATGCGCAAGCAGTTGATGCCGTTCCCACGCATGAAGCCGGCCATGCCTTCCTCCCGCCACATCTTGACGAGGCCGCTCCACACGCCCGCATATGCGCCTTTGCTTCCGCCACTCGCGCGGGCTGCTTTCGATGGTATTGCCGCGCTACCACCGCCTGCTGATGATGGTTTTTCATGAGGTTGGATTTGCCTGAATGTGCAAAAGAGAAGGACATTGGACCTCTTTGAGCGGATGCACACTCATGCCGCTCCAGAGACACCCCTTGTAGGCGCGCTCACTCACATGATAATTTTTAGCCTCTCGAGCGGACTAACGACAGTCCTGCTCGCCGCACCCGCTGCTCCGCCGGCTACAAAGTAGCTGACAAGATACGCGCGACTCAGCGCGCTTTCCTCTTCCTCCTCTTCCGATCCATGCTTCTCCTCTTTTTCGTGTACGCATGCAGACGACCCCAATTTCGCGTCTTCCTTATCTTCGACTTCTTGCTTTCTCGCAGTGAGAGCAGCTGCCAAAGAAGAATGCTCCTCTTCGGCCGGTGCATGTGCTACGATGCGTCTATTCTGCGAAGCGAGTAGACGATGCAGGCAGGCCCGTTGTTGCTCATGCTCATCGCGGCGACGCGGCGGCTGTCGCTGAGGATATGAGACTGACGGCGCAGAACTAGGCTCTGGCCCCTCGGAAACAGCGAAGACGTCAAGCTGAGAAAGCTCTTCGGCGTACAACAGGTCGTCGGCATCTGGTGCGCATTCCGTCGATGGGGGGGTGACGGGGTTTGAATGCTGAAGAGAATAGTGGTTTGCACCTATCTGCCGCAGGGGCGCATGCCTAACCTGCCATCCGTGTGGGGTGGGACCGACCGTCTCGCGTTCAGCTTCTGGTGCGAGCCGTGATGGGTCCTTCTGTATCCGCTCGAGCTGAGAGGGCCATCTCCCCTGTGACTGAATCGACCTTGCGTTGCTGCCGGTGCCTGATAGGCCCTGACCCGAGCTCGCAAAGCAATCGCCTCGGTACCCTGCCTCGGGAGAGACAGAGCTGCACATCGGCCGTGGAGACCACGTCCTGGCGGCGATGGTGGTCGTCATCGCCGTCGTGGTCTATTTTTCGAAGGATCTTGTTGCGGTAGACGCACTGCATATAAGCAAGAGAGGACAGGCGCAAGACGAAGAGTAGAAGTGGACGGTGAACCTGGCAGCCGGCTAGGTCGGTCGAGGCTCGAGCTGGGTTTTACGGTGTGCTTCGTGAATGGGATGCTGACTCGACGTGCGAACTCCAGTAAGGCGCGGGAGGGGATGGAGGGCCAGGGTTGAGTCGTCGTCGTCGTCGCGGTCGTCGGTGGTAGAGTGTGGTGGTTTGGGGGGGGGTGCAGCGGGCGGAAGGCTCCTGTTACTGTGCACGATTTGATGTACAGCTATGCAAGTAGCAATCCAGCATGTCTGGCTTGTGGCCGCACCTCTCTTTAGTAACTGAATGGCTGGACGGAGTGTGGGAGAGCTGGACACGCGAACGAGATACATACAGGTCCGTCAGCTGGTGGTTCATCTCCATCTGTGGCTGCTGATCGCTTGTTCCGCACCGGGGAAAGCCGGGAGTGAGTCGCGTTCAAGGACCAGAGGAGAGCTGGGAGCGCGATGCACCGAATGATAGTGAATACTCAAGGCCCGAGGCATGCACATCGATCACGCAACTCCGTTACATCAGGCCCCCCGACTCCCCCACACCCCACACCGGCACCAGAGCACAACCCAGTGTTTATGCGCAGAAGGAAGGCCACAGGCAACAATGCAGCGTCGCCGAACGCTGACCTCTCGGTGAGTGACTGTATAGGAATCGTCACTCATCGCCCCGCAGATGCACCGGTGGGCTGTTGCCGTGCAGCTATATGATGCATGCCAGGTCGGCAGCCTTGAACATTGAGTTTTAAAGTGTAAAATTGATTATGGATAATCGCGAGACACTTTAGATGATACTTTTGAAATTCTGTGTCTATGCATGTGTATTGCTGCTGGGCGTGGCAGTGCCTCGCGGGCAAGAGCTCGTTTATGCTGGGGTCGTCCTACCTTTGCCATCCGCGCAAGTAAAGTGAGGCGCTAGCGGACCGCTTTCTTCAGCCCTTCCTCGCGTGAGGGATGCGCTCTCAGGCATTTTCCTGCTCGGCCGTGGTCTTGAGCATATACGGCTTCCCACTCTCATTGACCGGCTCGAACCGCTTAAAGTTTTCCTGCGGCACACCGAGCTCGAGGAGCGTCGAGAAGACGCGCTGGAAGTCCTTGAAGAACAGCTCCTCGTTCTTGGCGTACTTCTCCACCTGCTTCCGGAACTTCTTGTCCTGCAGCAAAGCCATGTCCGTCGGTAGCATCATCAGCCCGCCCGTGCTGGCGTCCTGGAACTGCTTGGGGCCGTCCCACTTGCGGACGTGCCACTTTTCGTTCAGGAGTAGGGTAAAGTACTCTGCGCGTGTACAACGTCAGAAATGCATTCAGCGGCTCGCTCTTCAAGGCGCCTTGGGGGGCAGGGCTCACCATTGTTGAAAGAGAGTGGGCTGTGCTGCCATGGCCCATCGAAGCCCGAGCGATCGGAGTGGCATCGTCCAAGCGCATGCGCACCAGACAGCGCGACAATTTCCTCGTCGTTGAAGCCCATCTTGTAGAAGACCCATCGCAGATGGTCCGACCCCTTGTCCGCATCGGGCAGACGACCTTCGGGAGGGCAAAAGTTGGCCTCCCGGTCAGAGCGCCCCGGGCGCCAGGGGATCTTGGGACCTCCGAGCTCTGTTGCAAAACGATATACCACGCATCAGCAAAACACACTCGCGGAGTACCGCTGACTCTTCAAGTCGGGTTCGTTTGTACACTGTCTCATCTCATCTTGATTCCTTAGTTCTCGCAACCTCCAAAACCCCTGCCATCCGACCACCTGATAGCCCTCTCGATCTCAAAAAGATATGCTTTGAACCGTACGTAAGCCTGCGCCTAGTATATGGCTGACTTTAGTCACCGACTCGCACCCTCTCGCTTTCGAGTCTGCTCGCTACTTCGTCTGCCTGACTGGTTCAGCAAGGGGTGTAGTCGTAGATGGACTCGAGCCCGGCACAGAGGGCCAATGCAAGCAAACAAACGGAGCCTAAGCATCCACTCCGTTCCAATCCTCTCCTGAGCATTCGCTCGCGTCAAGGAGGGGGAAGGGTCGCACCCGAATGATACACCCAGTTCGCGTGAAAACACATCCCCCCGCCTTCAAACTGATGAAGATACGAGCCCTCCTGTGCCATCACAGACCTCCTCCCAACAGATGTTCACCCAGGAAAGTGTGGTAAGCGTGCCAAAGGGTGACAGGCTGTGGAAAGACTCTGGGAAAGAAAAGGAAAAAGGGAGTTGCACGGCGTATCGCTGGTTGGATGTTGCAGTGCTGCTTTGACGTGCAAGGACGGGGTTCTGCATAGACTTGTGCTTTGATGTGATGCGTTGTGCGACGTTTGAGTTCCTGTTGAGGTGCGCCGCATTTTTTCTTGCACATGCGGGTGCTGAAGCGAGCCAAAACAAGACGAGACGAGACAAGACGAGACGAGACAAGACGAAACAAGACAAGACAAGGCGAGGAAAGGCTAGAAGAGACTAACCTTGGATCGCAACGACACCACCAAGGGTCCAGAGATCCTGTGCATGTGCGTTCAGAGCAGGGAAGAGCGTTTCTTGTCAACAGACAGCGTGTGAAAGAGGAAATAGGGTGCAGGTGGAGCTTACGGAGTAGGTGACCCATGGGAACTGCTGCTTGATGGGCTCCAGGAAGTCACGGGCAGCTTTGAGTCCGGCGTTCGCTCCGTGGTCTGCGAATTCGCGCATAATGTAGATGATCAGCTCTCTGTTTGACTTGCAAAGTGTTGGAGCAGGGAGGCACGCAAATACGCTGGACTCAGAGGGAGAAAAGGCAGGCACGACGACTCACTGGACTCGGGAGCGAACCTCATCGTGGCGCCGTTGCTACCGCCCGTGTTGGTGTGCTTGTCGTACGTGCCCGAGCTGTGCCAGGCGAGGCGAACGAGGACGGGACCGTAGCTGCCATCGTCGTACTTGGGGTCAATCTCGAGCCGCTCAGAGATGGCGTTGTACACCTTCTGGTAGTCCTGCTGGCTTCCGAGGCCGTCTTTGGGCCACGAAGCGGCAGATTGGGCGCCACCACGACCGACGTCGAGCAAGTTCTTGCGGTCGTCGCGGTCGCCGAAGAAGGCAAAAGCACCGCCGGCAAGGACAGCGATGGCCAGACCGCCAAAGAGCGCGGTGCGGTTCGTGCGCACACCCGAGTCTGCTGCAGGTGGCGGCTGCGTGGGAGCAAGTGGAGCAACAGGTAAGCATTGCAAACGGAAGAGCAGCCTTATCAGCGCGGGGAGCGCCAATCGGGAAAGGTTCGCGCGCCAAGAGGCCCGAGGAATGGATCTACTTCAGTCGACATGCCGGTTACTCACGCTGCCCTTGACTGGTCCCTGCTGCTCAGCGACGATGCGGGACGACGAAAGATTGCGTGTAGCCCGCAGCGACGGCGCCTGTGCGCTGCGACGGGCGGTCGCCGCCGCGTTGGGGCGAAGCGTCGAGCGCAGCGAGGTTGATGCGACGGTGCGAAGTGCAGCCATTTTCAAGCGAGCGTTGGTTGCTGCTTTGAACTATGAGCGCAGGGCACGTTTAAAAAAGCAGTTGCGTTGTATCGATAATTTGTCTTTGCAATGCTGAAAGGGGTGAAGAGCAACGATGTCCCAGAAGAGATTCGGGAAGAAGAGGCAAAGGAATGGATAGAGTAGTGCGTGTGTTGTGTGACTTGCGTTGTCTCTCACTCTTTCGGTTACCTGCTCTGCGTTACGGCATTAACCTAAAAGAGAAGCAAACAGACGACGAACGAAGACCATTGACTGGTGATGCATAAGTTACATAAGCAGAATCGATATTTTCAACCTGAACCGGTCGCCGATGGAAACAATCCACGCAGCTCTAGTGCCCACTCCAATTGCACGCGTTCCGTGCGGGTTGCCGCCAGGAAGCTCTTTGAAACGCCGAAGCTCCAATTGGACGGGTGCGGGCATGCGCATGCGGTGGTGACTGCTGGAGCAGCAGTATTTACATAGATAGGCTAACGCGTCGCGTATGAGCACAGGCAGGGCCCACGCGCTCCACCGGTTCGTTGTAGCCTCCATGGTTTGCAAAAAGACAGCTCCTCTTGCTACCTTGCATCGGAGAGATTGATATGGATAAGTGAATGAGGAGGTGAGGATTGAGGAGGGTACAATGGAGGTTCAACCGCTAGAGATTAACTGAAGGTTTGTGCCCCTCCTTTTATCAGTTCACTCGTCTTTGTATTGCATAGACTGCTGCTACGTTGACGCGCTGATGCGCAATCGAATGGTATGATGCATACGTGGAAGAGACCGTGACCGCACGCCTATCGAGCACATCCCGCACCCGTTCGTTTTTTTCTCTCCGATCTCTCATCAGACAATATCCTGCTCTGTCTCCGCCTTCAAAGCAATGACAAGCTGATGCTACCATTGCAAAGCTTGCAGTGCTCACCGGCGCTGAGATGACACCGAGATGACAGTCTCTCTTCTTGCAATGTGTGTCCACGTCGAACGACGCTGACGTGCTGCTAAGCCCTACTTGATGTAAGCGTGTCATCAGATCAGGAGAGGGAGGCCACCTCTGGGGTGCTGTCCAAGCTCTGGTACACTGGCTAGACATTGTCGTCGGTGACTGAGGCCCATCGTCCCACAGGAGCCTTCTGAACCTCCCACTTCACTGAATGCACCCGGTTTTCAGTGTTACTGTTAAGGTACACAATCACTCTTCAGTGGGCACACGCCCTGGCAGCGCATCTGCTATATCGCTCGTGCGAAGCCCCCCCATGCCTGGCTCATCGTCGGAGGCTCGGCCATTGTCGTGCCTTGTGCAGTGTCAAAGAATCTGCGAAGTAGTTCGAACCACGCGCGTGTGATGCATTTACTCATTACTTGCCACACATGTCCCTGTTGCAATCAACAAATAATACAATCCTCTTTCTCCTTGCCCTCTGGCCCACCACCGCTGCCGCTGCTAGCGCCCCCGCGGACATGCAGCTTGGCCATCAGATCCGCCAGTTTCATTTCCTCCGTCTTGGTCAGCAGCCCGCGACGCTGCCGGTCCTGCATGGCTTTGATGCTTGACTTCAGCTCGGCTTTTGCGCGTCTGCAAGATGTCAAAGGCAGAGGAGAACACGATGCGCGGCGTCAGCAAGTGGAATAGACCCCTACCTAGCGGGAATGACGTCAAGCAGAAATGAGGATTGGCTGAAGCATGGAGCCACAGCATCATGTCCCTCTTCGCAGAACAAAGGCTGTCGGGCCACTCATGGTAAAGTCACTCCCTTCCACCAACATGACCGGAAGTTGCGTAGACTACACTACCGCACGCAAAGCCCCATATCTTCTGTTACATCTTCAACCCTGCGCGAAAAGCGGTCGCGGTACCCACTTGTCAGTCTTGTCGAAAAAATTAAAAGTCGAGGAGCCTGCATTGGGGGCGCTGGCTTGTTGTGGAGGTGTTGCTTCCGCCTTGGAGGGTGCTGCGCTCGACGAAACAGTTCGTGTGGTATATGGTTGTGTCGCGCCGCTGGAGTTCGACCTCGTACTCCCTAGAGCAGAGACCTTGGCCTTGATAGTTGCCGCTGCATTCGCTGCCACCGCATTCGCGCTGGACGGCATAGCTTTGGACTTGGCGCGCGAGCTGCCCGATTTGGCAATGCTTGATGAGGAAGGCAGGGATACTGTGGATCCGCTCTTGCTCGAGCTTGCGCTGGCGTTCGCGCTAGTGGAGCACTCGTGCTGTTGCGGCGCGCGATGCGATGGGCAGAAGGATTGGCGACATTTCTGGCACTGCCCGATGCGTGAGTTAAGAGCAGTGTCAGATGAAACGCACGGGAAGCATGGTGGGCCGGACCCCTAGACTCACCGTGATGGGGACGACCATGATCTTCCTGCACTTCCTGAAACGGCATTCTTTCTCTACCTTAGCACGCATTTGCGGCGCCTGCTCATCCTTCAGCATTCCATCTATTCCAAGCGCCTTGCAAGCCCCTGCGCTCCTCGGACGCGCCGAAAGGTGTCGCTCCATGGCGATGTTGGGGTCTTCATCGCGCTTCCAACCGGTCGGTGGCTCATGACACAGAGGGCAGAGGGGGACGTAAAAGTCTGCGCTGGAGCGTGATGAAGAAGCCGAGGGGCACGAATGTAGATCGGGCTTGTAGTGGTCGACGCAGAAGCTGTTCACGGTGGGTGGAAGGATAAGGGGCATCAGTATCCTTTTGGATTGTCCTTCCGCTCCGGGCCCGCCTGAGACGAAACGACGCACTTTTCATGGCAATCTTTGCATTTGAACGGTAAGAAGTCCTCGCGATGACAGATTTCCAGATGGCATCGCTCGCCGATCCACAGCATCGGCGCTGCCGAGCGCGATGCGTGCGTAAGGTTGGTTGTAGGGTCGTGCATCTCAAGTCAGGGGTTTGGGTTTGCCGCAAGCTCACGAAAGGGGACGCGTGAGTTTAAAAAATGTTTGCGCAGAAACAGGGAAAGCTTTGGCGCTCGATAGCCTTTATAACCTGCAAGTCGGCGAGGAGGTTGACGATGACGACGCCTGGTTGCAACAAAGACGTGAAGGTGACGCTCATCCGGCGCCACTTCACTCCCAAAGGCGGGACACCAGGGTTGCGTGTCCCTCCATAAGCAGGCAATATATGCTTAAATCGGTGCAACCTGTCGCCGCTCCCTTCGGACATAACAGGCTTTCGCATTACATACAGCTATAGTGCTCCCTTTCTGCTGCGTACCGCTGGCATTCTTTGCACGGATCAGCAGCAATATTAAATGCCGAATGAATAACGACTGAACGAAGCCGATCATGAGACCTTCCTCAGTTATCTTTCTTGGCAAAGATAGCTGAGCAAGGTAATGGCTGTTGTGGGATTGTGGACATTCCTGCCGATGTGCCAATCTATGATGTGCTGTTTTTCCCGCACAGCTACGGACGCACCGCCCCTCCTATTCTCGGATCCATCACCCCTTCTACACCGGAACGATGGCGACCAACACCAACGTGACTATCCACACGTTCGTGTACAAGCACGCCTCGTCGCTGGATTTGCAGCTCGACCTGCTGCTCCCTAAAGGTGCAGACGCCGCCTCGGCATCATCATGCGCTCCACTGCCCATCTTCTACTGGCATCACGGCGGCGGCGCGATCCAAGGGCGGCGGCAAGCCGTGCCGCCGCACATGCTGCATGCGGCCAATACGCACCGCTTCGCAATCATCAGCCCGGACTACCGCCTTGCGCCGCAGGTACGCCTGGACGCCATCTGCGAGGACCTCGTCGATGCGTTCCGCTTTGCGGTTGACGAGCTGCCGGCCAAGGCCAAAGGCGTGAAGCTCGACACGCACAACATACTCGTTAGCGGCAGCTCCGTTGGCGGGTTCTTGGCGCTCTTGGTTGCACTAGGCATGTGCCCGGCACTTGCGCTCTCCTCGTCATCATCTGCATCGCTGTTGGCGAGGATCAAGGGCGTACCGATCATCTACCCGATCACGACGTTCGATGTGCCATTTTTCCGTGACGCGCAGGAGCCATTCCTGGGTTACCTCCTAAAGTCGGAAGCGGAGGACTCGGCATTCAAGACGTTCGTCGATCCCTCGTCTCCTGTCTGCGCCAACACGGACGCCAGCAGCGGCGATGTCAATCCGCTGCGGAACAAGTTCTACATGTACGCGCAGCAGACGGCGCCCGTCAGTGGGTTCCAGCAGCTCGTATACGGCGACCAGTTGATCGAGGCCGGCTGGCTGCAGTCGTCGGACACGGTCGTCTTCCTTCGCAAGAATGCAGAGGCGATCAAGCAGGCACTCAGTGGTGGGAGGGGGGCTAGGCTATACGCGATACATGGAGATGCAGACAAAGCGGTTGACGTCAGCCAGGTGCGCGACCTGGTCGCTGCGGCCACGGAAGCCCGCGTCCCGATCGAATACGAGGAGCTCAAGGGGATCGACCATATGTTCGACTGTGAGTAGCTGGCCAGCCAACCGGTGGACGTACGCTGATCCTCATACCACTTGTCTCACGTGCTCGCACGCCGCTCATATCATCAGATGACCCGAAAATCACTCTGGATGGATTTTATGCTTGGTGCGTCAAGGCCTGGGGGCTGTAGTTCACGCTGGAATGGAATCATTCAGATGTAAAGTTTGTGATTGCGGAAAGTCAACCGGAGCCTACTTCCGTGGCGTAAGGGGGACAAGGCATATGAGCTGGTCACTTCGTCCGCTTCTCGTATCTCTCGTCCATGCTGCACATCCCCGGGCCATCGCGTAAAGGCGATCGATCACATTCCATCTGTGCATGGGGCGACGAAAATCACTCGTTGGCACAGAGGGATGGTTGCAGGTTAGTCCGTCGCCAGATCGTCGTTTTAGAGAAAGTGGATGCGCAGCTCCCCCGGGTCGGGCAACAGACTACTAGTCGCGTGTCGAGGAAGAGAGTTGCAAGATCACTGCGCTACTGATTTTGTATCTCGCATCTCGCCGTTCCATATTCCAATGAAAGTCCCAACAGGCAAAACAAGCAAAAAGGAAACTTTGCGGCCGCGCCTGCTCTGCCGCAGTGTGCTCACAACTCAGATCCGCATGGAGGCTATACCTGGCTAATCAATGACATTAAAGTATTCTGCAACGGTTCGTGCAAAAGACTGCCACTGAGTGCAGAGTGTGCAGTTGGCCTGGACAACCGGCAAATACCGGGTCCCGAAAGAAGATATCCCGGAACCCCCGTAAGGTCTTCCCGGAAGTGACTGCTCGAAACGGAGCTGGGTTAACCCAAGCCTGTAATATGACCCAACCCACCCATGTTTCGCTAGCAAAGATGGAGAATCTGTTGGAGCCGCGCATGGACCGGGGGTTTCCCTTGCGGCCTAGATCCTGTGACTTTCTAGGCCGTCTGGCGTCTCGGCAGGATTCCAGGGAATGGGGCTCGAATGTTATATGGATTCCGGGGATCCTGACAGTGCCCCAAACACCTTTCGGGTCAACTCTAGCAGAGTACAGGAGGGCGCAGGGGGCAGGGTATCGCACGCCGTTGGACGAAGATGCATATGTGAACCACTTCCCGCCTGTTCACGGCCCTACAGGGAGACTGCAAAGTGGCAAGTGAAGGCGGCTTGGCTTGCCAGATCATATAATGGGTTGCTTGACAGCGATCTGGGGCCTGCAAGCGCCACCTGGTCGACTGCACGCAACTAGACGTTGGAAATGACACTTGGAGCCGTTGCGGGGTATAGCCTTACACAGATGCAGTGGCTCTCAGTAGGACCGCTGGCAGACCAGGCTGCATGTGACATCAGCAGCACAGCAGCACAGGGAGATGAGGCAGCAGAAACAGCCGAGCGCAGGAAGCGGGGCGGCAGCGTTGGTGCGGGTATAGTGTCAATCACTTGGGTTCTTTTTGTCCACACACCCTGCGGAAGTGATTATGCAAGCCAACGACAACGTTGAGCACTGCGACGTGCAGACCGGACGAAGTCAAGTCTCCGCTGTTGCCCCTTTCCATCCTCTGCCGCCACTGCGCCACCACCCACGCACTGCTGACTGTGCAACCCCCCACATATATAAATACCTCTCTCACAGGCGAAGGCCGCGAGGTGATTAAAGGTTTCTGTCTCGTTGCAAACCCCAGTCTTCACCTATAGTGATCCCAACGCCTTGCGCCATCCGTCGAATCACATCATCTTGTCACGCCCTCCCCTCCAGCAAAAGAACAACATGCTCAGCAGCAAGTTCACCCTCCTCGTTCCCCTTGCCTTGGCTTCCGTGGCTGGCGCTGTCCCGCAGACTAACCCGTTCGGCAGCCTTGGCCAAATCATTAATGGTCTCAGGTGAGTCTTCTTCCTCACTTTCCACTTTTCTGGCGTTCAAACACTGTCTGAGCAAACGCCTACTCTCCTCACAACAGCCCCGGATGCGTCGGCGCGATCGGCGGCTTCGTTCTGAACCCGACGGACCCGCTCGCGTTGTGCCTCTCCTTGTCGAATGCGCTGCAGACTTTCACCGCCGCGGGGCAGAACTCGTCGCTGGTGCCGGCATTCAACTCGTACCTCACCCAGGACATTTGCGGCAAGCCCGCTTGCAGCGCCGACGCGCTAGCCAAGGGCAACGCCACTCTTAACACTGCGTGCAGCGACTCGGACCGCGCGGCAAACAACGGCACCAATGCCGCCGTCCTGTTCCAAGAGCTGCTCACCTCCTACTACCCGATTCGCAACGCGGTGTGCAACGAGAACACTAAATCCGGCACTAACTGCGTCGTTGAGACTATGTACGGCATCCAGAACGCCACCGGCCAGACGCTATCGCTCAGCACACTGGTCGGCCTGCTGTCCGAGCCCGAGAAGGCGTTACAGCTCGAGCGGGTCCTCCTCTCCAACAACACGGTCCTGTGTACTGACTGCAACAAGGCGCTCATCTCGTCTATCCTTAAGACCGAGGACACTTCCTCTTCGCAAGCCATCTCGGCCGCCTCATCCAACTCGCCGAGCCAACTCATCGGTGGCGTCGAGAAACAATGTGGTGCGTCCTTCCTCAATGGTCAGTTCCCCAACGATACCAAGAACAGCTCCATCACCGCATCAAGCAGCAGCGGCAGCAACAGCAGCCAAGGTGGCTCTAATGGCGCAAGCGTTGCAGTCAGCGGCAGCGGTGCAGCCGCCCTTTTCGGCTTCGTCGCCGCCGGTGCTGCTCTTCTGGCCTGAGCAGCCAAGTGCAAAGCGAGTAAAAGGCCTGTTCTTTCCTACGCGGAGGTCTCCTATACCCATCTACGTTACCGTTTGATGGGAAAGCCGAAGCGTCCCTCGCTTTCGCTTCCTCTCGACTTAATTGAAACGCCACAAATGACGTTTGTACACGTGTTTATAAGTACAGTAATAGCGACCATCGCAACTTTTTCTGCCAAATTTATATGCATTCATGAGCATCCGCTCTGGAGCCGAGCTAGACAAGGACAATGAGCTGCTTGCGAAATGCGGCCCCTCGATGCTTTGTGGCGCCGACCCGCGCACGCCATGTTGAGAATAAATTGCGACATGAGGCATAAAAGGCACGCGTGGAATGCGGCTTTCTGCGCTGATTGCTAGGAAAAAGCGTGCTGCCCCCTTCCTCTGCCCTTCCCCACGCCTCCCCCCAGGCTTAAACAAGCGTCACTCACCCTGACGCGTATTCAGAAGCGACTGACGTCCCTGCCAAAGGTGGCCGTGACGAGCCATCCCCAGGGCACGAGCAGGCGGTTGCGCCAGCTCATGCTCATCCACGAGTAGGCCCCGCGCCACAGCAGCCAGGCGGTGCGACCTGTCATATTCGCCACGGGCGACTCGAAGATTGCCTGCGACGAGCCGAGATTAGTCATCGCGCCGCGCGAGGAATACTTAAAGTACCGTTGGTCTTGATACGCGGCTGCCGCCGTTGAGTTGCTCCCCAGCTCTCCCATCTCCCCATTCAAGATGGAAGCGAGGTGTTTGGCTTTCGCCGAAGCTACTTGGGCGGTTGCTGGCATCATTCGCCCTGCAGCAGCAACAAGAGAGGGTGCCATATCATCAATGGCCGTCCAGTCACTAAGCGGAGGGTGCGCGGCTACTCGCCTTGAATGATCGCACAGTCTCCAAGAGCCCAAATGTTCTCGTATGCCTCTTCCGTGCACCTGCTCTCGTTCGGCGGTACGCCTGGCTTGGGTGGCGGTGCGAGCTCGACGAGCTCCTGCCCTTCCTCGGCCTTGAGCGCGCGCAACTGGTCGTCAGTAAGCAAGTTTAACGACCTCTTCTCCTTTTTGATGCCCTTGATGCTGCGAATCAATGGGCTGCTTGTGATACCCGTGCTCCACACCAGCAACCCAAACGGCAGCGCGCCGTCCTCTTTGATATGAAGCACGCCCGGCTCCACGCCTGTGATCGTCCGCTTCAGTCGGACGTCGATGCGGTTGTTCAGGAATTTCGCGCGCGCGTACTGCGAGAGTCGCTCGTCGAATGTATGCAGGATTGCGCCGGCAGAGTCTACGATCGTTAGCTTGATGAGCGGCGCGAGCGTAGGGAAGATTCGTTTGATCTCATTTGACGCCTACGCGATGTAACGCAATGTACAGCTCATGTGAGTGCTGTGGGATCGCGAATGCTTACACAAGCGCGCAAAAGACGCTCACGAAATCATGAATCTCGCCGATCAGCTCGGCTCCGGTCGGGCCACCACCGACCACTACCCAAGAGAGCAACTTGCGCTTGTCTTCTTCTGGCAGTCTGAACGCGCCAAAACGATCTGATTTCAGCATGGACTTGTATGTATAGCCCATTGTAGGAAAAAACGAGGTCTGTCCGTACTCACTCGGGATGCGAAGCCTGCTCGAGCGTCTCCAAGATCCTCCATCGAATGCTGCGAGCGTTCTGAGCATCTTTGAGGAACCATGCGTTCTCCTTGACACCTTTAATGCTGAAAGTCCGGTTGTATGCACCTACGGCGATGACGAGCTTGTCAAACTTGAGCTCGTAGTACCTCCCTTGCTCCTGTGCCATGGCTGCTTCCGCGATGCGCGGCAAGTCATCCGGATGCACCATGCCGTGCTGTTGCGTCAGCTTGTCGTCAGCTCCTCTAGTGGTTGCCGGAGACACAGACGCGGACGGTACTTCACTCGCAGTGCTCATGCCTTCTACGTCTCTGCGATGCACAGGCTTCTTAAAACTGGTGGCATAGCCTCCTTTGGCCTCGGGAATACGTGCTGGCGCACGCGACTGCTCCTCAAGCGCCACGCGTGCCTGTCGCTTTCCATCCGAATGCGGAGGAACAGCGTGCGGCAACCTTTCTCCATTGTCGGTGTTGCGCCCCAGCTGTGACTGCAGCTGGGCATGAACCTCGTGCTGTTGCTCCTGCAGGGACACCGTCGGATCAACTTCACGGAATGACGGTGGATATGCGGGCATGAGCTTGAGCGTGCGTGTTTGAATGTCGAGTGCATCGACCCAAGCATGGTGAAAGGTCACATCGCCGTTTGACCGCACGGGCTCCATGACGGCTCGGAACTGGTGGAAGTATTGAAGGAAGTATGCATGTCTCAGCGCTTAACCCTTGGATGCTTTGAAAAAGAAATGAATGACAGTCGTTCACGCACATCCAGTGTGCCAACAGCAGCCTGTGCCAGCAACGGTGTCATAGCAAAGTAAGTATTCGGGCTGACAATGACGGTCTCATACTTGCTCTTGTCTAGGTGCTTGAGCAGCGTGTAGCCGCCCCAGCCGCTCCCTAGCACCACCAGTCGTTCCTTTCTCGTTGGCGCTTTGGAGGTAGCAGTGGAGATCGTTGATGCTGGCGCCTTTTGCCAATACAGCGGAGTAGACGAAAAGAGCCTGTATTGGGCATGAAGCTTGTTTTGGTGATGCTGCTTGAGCTGCCGCAATATGCTTCCGTAGGAGATCGGGACCGACATACCGAAGGTCGACCTTGAAGCACCAAGGCCTTGAACGTCGAAGTGAACGGCTGGACGAGTTACGTCACATTTGACGTTTGGGCAAGCTCTTTATTAAGCCTGGGGTATTGGCTGGCCTCTGTGATGGTGATGGGATATCGGCGGTCGAAACTAGAGGAAGTTCGGTTGAACTGCTTGCTGTATATGAGATAGGTTTTATCTGGCGGGTTTCCGTCGCGTTTCTGTTGAATAGATGAGCTTACTGTTTGACACAAAGGATCCTGTTGGGTTTCTCATGGATATCATTCCACCATCAGGGTCGTTTCCCACGCAGTAAATGTTGAGGCGCTGATGAGAAAGGAGACAAATTGCAAGCAATCAAGCATACACTCGATCAAGGACATGAGCTCTGGCTGGACTTAGATCAATTGACGAGGAATCTCTGTTTGATAGGCCCCAATGTTTCCTCGTTGACGGGTGATTCCAAGCAAGAGAAGACTTGGCCCGTAGTACTCCCGAACTACTTTGGTTGGACAGTGCTCTCTTTGCCTTCTGTCTCCTCCGACTTCCCTCGCTCCCTATGCAACATAGTTATGATGCTCAACCGTCTTTCATACCTCTTGACTCTCGGGTTAATGCCAAATGAAAGCCATTTCTTTGAGCGTCCATTGCTGTCGCCCTACCCACCTTTATCCACTAGCCACGCATGCATGATGCATGCATATGTATGTACACACCCTCCGTATGATCGAGATTCGATGGGCATTGAGTGCACGACTTAGTGGATGGGGAAGCGTTGCAGGCCTGCAGGTGAGCCATGATCGAAGAGAAATTGTGCCGAGACTCAAGGGAGCCCCGCAAATCAAGAGAAACTCACTAGAGAAAGGCTCCTGCGTAATCAAATCATCATATTTCAGGGCATTCGGCACGTCAGCGCGAACGTCATCATCACCCGATATAGTATCATCTTGTCACAGAGTCGCGAGAGATACAGAACACCCGACTCTGGAAACAAAGCACATCAGTGATCAAAGCATGAAGCGAAGCGATGGACAGTATTACACAGAATGCAGACAGTAGAGCATCTCTACTGGCGTCAGTCGTGACGCTGAACCGTATCACGTACATGGAAGAATCGCATAAAGTACTGGCTGGCTTGGTCTGTCAATTATACCTTGGCTTCCCGATCCTGCTGTTGGCTGTACGCCGTAGGTTCGAGCAGCGCTTTTGCCGTCTAGATCGAAAGGAAGATCGCCAAGCGGCCTGCGCAGAGGCAGAGCTGTTGCGCTCATCGTCTTTGCGCTTTCTATCTGCTATCTGGTACCAAGGCTACCGAGGCGTTCGCGCGTGGCGCTACGGGAATCGTTGCTGGCACTACTACTACTTCCATAAGGAGCGAAGCGCAGACCGAAAGCATGGGCCTGAGCAGGTGAACGCTTCTGCTGCCGTTGATAGTGCTGCTGATGCTGGGGAAGTGCACTGGTCTGGCTGAACATCTGACTCTGCGCTTGGGCCAAGCGCGGCGCAACGTGTACTCCTCTTTGCAAGGGGCGTCCCGTGCTGCTGCCCGCGGATGCGCGCTCCTGCGCTCTGACTGCATGAGCAACGCCTTCGACGCCTTCATCGCTCGCAAAGCCTCTTCCATATTTCATGGGTTTGTCGCCCTGAACGACACCCGATCGAGTGCTTGCAATATCTTTCTCCGCATCCCTCGCATCCATCGAAGTCAAATTGCGATCTATCCACTGCTCTTGCAGGTGTTTGCGCTGCGGCGTTAAGGCTGCAACAGCACTCTCAGATTCAGAAGAGCTGAATTGCAACGAGCGATGAGCATCTTCCGGTCCCGTCTGTGATGATGCCTGGCGAAAAGTGAAGCAACGCTCACGTCTCCTAGTTAGCCAGCTACTTCATCTGCAGATACTTCTGATCTGACTCTCGAGCGGAGACGGTACCTACGCCACCACGTGCGAGAGACTTGAAGCGTCCGCTTTCCCTCCTCAGCGCCGGGGCGATTTCAGCGGGGCTTCTGGGCTCGGCGATTTTGCCATGAGTAGAAGACATTGGCATGCGAGAATCCATGGCATCTGTGGTCACTCGTGCATCATGGGATGGTGACTGCTTCGGCTGCTGCTCTTGTTGTTGGTGTTGTGGTTGTTGCCGCATATTCGTGCTGTCGGACGATTTGGCACCGGATGAGCTCTGTTTGTGCCCATTAATTAGAGGTATCATGGTTGTGCCGGAGGGCGACTTGGCCTGTTGATCTGGGGCTCCTTCGAATGATGCTTCATTCTCGATTGCTGTCAAGGCATCTAGCTCGTCATCATTGAGCTCGTCAAGGAACTCGCCTCCGCCCATCTGGCTGAATACCATTTCGACGTCGATATGCTCATCCTCAAAGTCGACATCGGAGAATCCGCTTGGCTGCTGCGTGTGCCATTCTTGAGCGGCATCATTTGATTTGTGCTGAGCTTGTGGCACCTTTTGCTGATGTCGCTGATTCTGGGCAGTCGGTGTGACATCTATACGAGGCTTCTTGGGAGCTTCTGTGAGCGCTCTTTTGACAGGCGGTTGCATTGAATTCAGCGACGTCTCCGCCAGAAGACGCTTTGGGGCTCCGTGACAATTCTGTGTTCTGGTTTCGGCGCCGTTGCTGACTGCACCATTGCCACCACTGCCTCCGTTCCCGACTTTAGACGGACGCACTTCAAAGCTCTTGTCAGCCTAAGAAGCAGTAAGGGTCAGTAAACAGTTCAAGAAGTCATCGCTCTCGGAGAGATCGGTGCTCACATTGCTCTTCTCAGCAGGCACTGCTTCATCTTGAAGATTTTGATGGGACAGCACAGACGTCGTCGCTCGTTGAAGTGGCCGTTTGATAGATTCAAACTTGGTCGCACCGTCGGCGGCCTCAGCTTGCTTGCGAAGCTCCATCTCCAGCTCCTCTCCGCGGTATAGATCTGCTGGGTCAAAACGCTGGCATCCAAAAGTGTGTTAACATCCAGGCGATCAAATGGAATGTTGCAACCCCTCACAGGCTTGCACTTTTTGAGTTTCCTGACTTCAGCGAGAAAGCCCTGGTCGTATAGACACAGGCTGGGGAGGAAATTTGTCACCTCAGCGACGCTTGAAACCCGCATATAGCCCTCAAAGCTCACCCAAGTCGCTCGCCAAGCTGCCTGAGAGCCCTTTTGAGGCTGTCGGATGCAGCTGTCTTGTCAGCCTGTCAGGGGGACGGTTAGGGCTGCAGCATATATGCGCGGTAGTAGACTGTGTTGCTCACGATTTCGAGTGCAGTCGCCAGATCGCTTTGATTCTTTGAGCAGCCGTGGCCGACGTCCTATCCCACATGAATCATCATGCGTCAGACTAGACCATTGGGCATCTGGAATGGAAAAACGAAATAATCACCTCGTGCGAGACGCCGCTGCGATGCGTGACCCTGGTGATACAGGTTGTGAGGACAGTGTATCGTGTTCCGTTTCTAGTCTCATCGGGCTTTATGCAAAGGGTATTAGGGTGAACAACTGGGCTTCGCAGATAGCCGGCGTCGGCCAGCAACTTACAATGATGCGCGGCACCAAGCTGATGATGAAAGAGCTCCAGTTCTCCCAGCCGAAAGTTGAGTTGGCAATACTGATAGCAGCATGCGTTGAGAGGTAAGAAAGCGTCATTCCACCTTAATTCGAGATCAGAGAAGAGTGAGATTCAGCGATCGCAGACTGTTGCATATTCTTCACCCCTCACCAGGCCCTTTCCTAGTTGCTATGAGCTCAGGCCCGAGACTCTGCTTGAGTTTCTTTCCCTCTTCTTCTCTTTGCTCTCTTTCCTTTTGGCGGAGAGAATTCAAGTGTGATTGTTGAATCTCGATTATAGCTGCGAGGCTACTTCCTTGATCTAATATAGTGTTCTGACCGCCTGCTATACCTGTATTCGCTCCTTGCCATCCCGGATATGCAACGATTGGGCCAGCACCCATGACTTGAGATGCGGGGACGAACGCACTGGAAGCCTGCTTCGAGCATCCCGCAGCGGAGAAGCCATGACCGTTGCAAAAGGGACCTCCGCTTGCTGTGCTCATGTAAGGGCCTGTGGCGCCCAGGAAAGAGTGTTCGCTCCCGTCACCCACAAAGGTGTCCATGAGAGAAGTCTGTATGTGCCCTTTCCTGCGATCGGGTGCGCGCAGCTTTCGCGGGTCAGTTTCTCGCGGTTTCAGCCGAGCTAGAATGCAGCATCAGGCCATCGGGTGCCGAAAAAAGAACATGTTGTGCTTAATGGAGCAAAGCGCAGGAGAGTGTCTATACGTGTCGAGTGTCCAGGTTGTACTTCGTGTGACGTGTGTTGCATTAGGATTGTTGCACATACGCATATGGATATCACCACGCGTCGCGACTGGCACTTCGCACGCCCTTTCACTCTCGAGAAAGAATACAAACACATTAACCACGTGACGATGAGAGAAAGAATCGAACTCAGATTCCTCCAGCGTGATGCATATCAGCATGTCCCTCCTCGCTGACTTGAAGGTCTTCGCCAAAGATCCTGCACACCGTACATAGCCTTTCTGCAACGTTTGCACACTGTTCCCTTGTTCCGAGGAGGGAAATGCTGAAGAAACTCGTTCGTTTCGCTCCTGCAGATGATTCCAACGCCAGATCTCGCTCACATTTCACGATCTACCTACGAGCACGTGTATGAACCAGCAGAGGACACGTTCATCCTCCTCGACGCTCTGGAAGCCGATGCGTCAATCCTGCGTGATGGTGTCGCTGCGGGACGATGCAAGCGGCCTCGCCTTTGCGTCGAGATAGGGTGAGCCTCAGGCCTGAAGCCTCGAAACTTGATCAGTTCTTGCCATCTGAATCAGTCGTGCTCAGACCAGGCAGCGGTTGTGTTTCTGCTTTCCTTGCGAAGATCGTAGGAGAGACTGAAGCTGGTGAGATGTTCCGGGATTCAATCTCTGGAGTAGTATCTCATGCCAGAAAGAAATTTTGGGCAGCATACATTTGCTTAGATATCAATGCGCAGGCGGCCGAAATCACTCGACAGACCGGCTCCGCAAACGGAGTGCCTCTCTCCCCGATCATCTCTAACCTCCTTTCCAACGTAGAAGCAAGGGTACACGGCAAGGTGGATGTGCTCGTCTTCAACCCACCATACGTCCCAACGTCTGCAGAAGAAGAAGCGCAAGCACAATGTTCTTACACCGGGGAGAACGGGAGTGAAAGCAAGATTGAAGCAGCATGGGCTGGGGGAAGCATGGGCACCCGGCTGCTTGAGATGCTCATCGAAGGTTCGGGCTCCGTGCGCTGGCCCCTCGAGGTGAGTGACTACCTGAAAGAGAGGATGAGGTAGCTCAAGTCCAGCCCAATTGACACCCGACCCACGACAGGAAATGCTGGCGCCGGGCGGCTCATTCTACTTCGTCGCAATCAAACAAAATGCGCCGGAAAAGCTTGTCGAGCGATTGCGAGCTCGCGGACTGACGTCTGATGTGAGTTGCCAGGACCCATGCAACTTTCCCACCGTCTTTGCTGAAAGCCAGTCGTTACGTCTGCAGATCGTACTCTCTCGCCGCGCAGGAGGCGAACACCTCTTTATCATCCGAGCAGTCCGACATATCGATACTGTAGAATAATATTGCAGCAACAACGAGGAGTACAATTTAGGAACCGTGGGAAAGGTAGCAAATGCACAGAGAATTAGAAGGCTACTTGTACAGAAATTGAAGAAAGCGATTCGCTATTGCTCAGAATGTAAAACTTTCGGAGATCACAGTCTGTTCTTCAGTTGTGTGCGCCTGTGCCGCAACGAGCTTAAGCGCCTTTCGGCACTCTTTATCGAAGGCAGGCGTTCCGCAGATGTATGCCCTGTATTTGGCGATGTCCTCGAAGGCAAGGCCCAAGCGATGCTCATCTTGCAAGAAGAAGTGCTTGTTGATGCGGCCTCCAGGGATATTGCGACTCTCGAATGTAATGTTAACGCTTTCCGACCCTGGAGCCGGTAAGGCGCTCAGCATCTCAGGAGTGACAGACGAGAACACCTGATCTTCGTCCGGCGCTGGCCTCTCGATGTACAGCACTCGGACCTTAAATTGAGCCGGATTGTCATTCCCCAAGCCGGGGCGATTGCCAGCTTGAGCCGTAAGAGCACGTCGTAGCAAGCCGTCGAAGATTGGCATCTCATCGGCGCGGAAGGCGAGGATCAGCAGGGAATCTACTGGTTGCTGTGCACCCTCAGCCTGACTCTGGCTTTGACGTGCTGCGAGCTGTTCGAGGTGAGCCAGAAGCGGCGTGATCCCGATGCCATGCGCCATGTAGAGCAACTTCAACGGATCGGTACTACTTGTTGGTTTAGGAACGGTAAAGACACCGTCGAAGCCAAGCATCGGGACCGTGATGTTCAAATTAGACGATCCTTTCTTGTGCTCCTGTTTCCATCTCCAGCCCTGGTGGAACAGGCCAGGCGTGACGGCTCCGCGTTGCTTGCGTCGCACGGTCATGCTAAAGTGGAGCAGCGTATTTCCATCGCTTCCTGTAGTGAAAGAGGGACGCGAGCTGACCGTCCAGGAACGCACACCATCGTCATTCACTTCCCTCTCTCCACCGGGAAAGTGGGCCATGTGCTTGTACAGCTTTACCCGTGTGTCGAGAATACCTGTGCAGTCCATGATCACGTACTGCCCAGCTTCGTAGGCTTCGCATCCAGCGTGGTGCAATGTGTCGGAGCCAGACGCCTGAACGGAGGAGACTGGACATGACCAATGGAAAGTAGCCAGTGTTGGAGTCCAGAAACTCATGCCTGTAAGCGTGGCAAGCTTGACTTGATCTCCTGAGGCGAGATTCGCTAGAGAGGGATTGACATGCTCGCTGTTTAGCAAGCGTAGGGGAGGATTATAAGGACTCCAATCGATGCAGTCGTCCTCCGTCAATCCTTCTGCTTCTTCATCGGCCTCATTACCATGTACTCTCGAAAGAGCGCCAGTACCCATCGACCACGCACCATCTACCGCGAGCGGAAGAGCGCCCTCGAGCACCGTGTATGCCTCTACGTAAATTTTGATGCAAGCTTGAACGCCGCGCATGAACTTCTTCGCTTCCGCGCCGACAAGCACCTGCGTCTTGCCCGTAACATGCAAAACGCGGGCAGGCCGAACAAAAACTCCGTCAGAAGAGCGGAAGCCGAAATGTGGGATGGCTAATCCGGCGACAGGATCATGCACCAGGTTTCCAATCGACTGCATGAAGCTGATGGGTCATAAAATCCGGATCAGCCTCGAGAAGGGCACACGGTCCAAAACCGGACCCACCGATTTCCTGAAAAGTCTGGCAGGACGAGGCAGCTCTTGCCTTGTTCGTGATCAAAGTAATGCCTCAAGAATCCCTTGCGACCCCCTCGATGGTTCATACCAAGTCTGCTCTCGTCCTGTGGATATACTGAGGGGTTGCCTGTGTGTCTTGTAGCAAGGTAGACGTGATCGGCAGATGCAACAATGTCGAGCGCCACATCGGGGAGTGGCGTGCCTGTCGGTGCGGAGGGGTAGGCGGACGCCAGCACCTTGGGATTAAGCTGCGTTGATGTGAGGATGCGCCTGTTGATATCTATGGGGGAATGCATTATCAACCTTGGGGCCTAAGTAGCGGCTGAGTATTCCTCAAACCCTCACATTTGGGGCAATTTCCCATGATGTTGTTGACGCCGAGTTCAAGGTCTAAATTGCCTGCATGCTCGTCCAGCTTCCAATCTTTGACAACACCCTCCAGCTTATTCCTACGCCGGTTGTGAAGCATAACACCAACGCTAGCCGCAAGAATTTTGCCCTTTTGTATGCCCATGCTCCCGTGTTCCTGTAAGCAGAACCGCAGCGGAAGGCCCTCAGGGGCCGGAACCTTCATGCGCAGTGTGCGGTCTTCATCACTGCGAGAACCGGGCGGAGTGTATGGCTGAATGAAGCCAGCCTCGCCATCCTGACCCGAGATGAGCGAAGCCCATGGTCGACCGCTGCCGTCGAGCGTTGCCAGCGGGATGAAAGGCAGCTGCGCAAAGAAAAGCGCGTAGAACGGCGGAAGGCCGTCTTCGAAAGGTGGATCGGTGCCCCATAGCTCGTCCGCAAAACCCCTGGCAAGAGCGGTGGTATATAATTGCAGCAATGTTAGCAGCCAGCTTCTGCGATGATTGCTTGGGCTCAACGGAGACGACACATGAATTACCGTGCTTCCTGGGCTTCCACCTCGCCAGGGTGCCAGCCTCTAGGGACGGGCATTTCGCTCGCGGTATGAAACTGAAGAGAAGGCTGGCTAAACAAGAATGTACCGCGTGAGCGACAATCCTTTCAAAATGTTTGCGTTGTTTGGTATGTGCTACTTGACACATATGTGAAAGCACCGTCTAACAGCGCGTAAAACAGTAGCGCAACAAGCAGCCCTGCTGAAGTCGTTGCTGGGCGCTTTGCAAGGTGTCGGTCGTGCGTTGAGAAAGACCGAAGGGATAAGTTACCCCATGCTTGCCCCTCCATTAACCAGGGCCATCGGCCGGTCTCACGGACTCCACATGCATATGTGCCTTTAGGGTTATGTAACGCCGGGAGGCGATTCGAGAGGAGCCCACGTACACCTGATGCCTCTGCGGGGTAAAAGCTGCCCTGTTGCGCGCTCCCTTGCCTCGCCACCTTGAACTCCCTTGAGTTCCTCTCAACCAGCCACCACGGCGAGGCCCGATTCAGCGGTCAGGGTTCGACTTCAATACCCCGCGGACATTACAAAGTCACTCTCCCAAGCAATTTCTTATTTTCGCCGCCTCGCATAACCTCGTCTGTCCTACGCAGGTCCACCCTCACTGTCGTAGTCATGCCTCATCGCCTCTATCTGTTCGTCGATATCCAACACTGTTTCTTCGAGTGGCCAGATCCAGCCAACCTTCTTCCGTCACCTGAGGTCTATCTTCCTCGCTGGGAAAAACTGCTGGACTCTGCGCGCGCTTATGCGGCCACGTCAAGGCAAGCACAAGGTGCAGCCGAATCCGACCACCTCCTCATCGCCCATGTGCAGCACGAGGAGGAGGGAGACTACGGGTTCAAGCGTGATACCCCAGGCTGGGAGCTGCAGTTCCCACCCCTGCCTGGAGAGATGCGGCTGCACAAGGAGCACCCATCTGTATTCGATTCGAATCCATCGCTCGCCTCGTCGCTGCGTGAAAAAGGTATTACGCAGCTCATCATCGCTGGCGCCCAGAGCGAGAATTGCGTGCAGGCCGCCGTGCACAGTGCGCTGAAGGAAGGCTTCCAGGTTCTAGTGCTCAGCGGTGCGCATCACACTTTGGGAGAGACGCTGGAGGAGGCCAACCGAATTTCACAGCAGATCGAGGACGAGCTGAGGAAGGAAGGCGCAGACATCGTGCAATGGGATCAGTACAAGTGGTAACTAGGATGGTACTGTCAAGGGAGACGCAGTTTCTTGTTGCTCGAGGTGGTTTCCGGGTCACATTTGGGAAGGGGAAAAAGATTGTGTGGGACACACTGGAACGAATGCTCAAGGCCGTACAATACAAATGGTAATGCTATTCATCGGAATGTTCAATTGTTGACCTTTCAAGCCTTATAACACGGAGTTGTAATGCTCGCGCAAGTCGCTCCTTAGCAAGAGAAGTACCGGCTACGTCATGATAGAAAGGGGGAGAGATATGCGTCAGACGGCAGGCGTTATGCATGAGATAGGGTGACTCACTCCCCAAAGTCACCAAGGCCGGGAATGACTGCATGAGCAAGCGAGCGTGTATCAGCATTAGCCAATTCGATCTCTCGCAAGCGCTGCACTCACTGTAGCTTCGCTCGTCCAGTCCATCATCGACCCAAGCGCATACTACGCTGACTTGCGGGTATGCTTTGTAAATATTTACTAGTCCTTCTGGCGACGCGACGAGGTTGAGGAAAAGAATACGCTCCGGGGCAACACCGTTGGAGATCAGCACGTCAATCGCCTGCAACGCGGAGCCGCCCGTTGCGAGCATCGGATCCAGCAGCAGCACCCAGCGCTGCGCAATGTCTTCCGGCAGCTTGGCATAGAAGAGCTTAGGTTTGGCCGTCTCCTCGTCTCGCTGGATGAGGATCTTGCCGATGCGCACGCTGCGGCAGCACTCGCGCAGTCCGGCTTCCATCGCTTCGCCCGCGCGCAAGATCGAAACGCCACAGATTCGCCCTTGAAATGAGACGCCTTTGGTCGGAGCAGGATAGACCAAAAGTGAGCATAGTGACAGGAAAGTAAGTGCTAGGTCTGAAACGAAGACCAACCTCGATATTCCATGCCTGTTGGTGTTTGAACCACCTTTTCCAGCGTCGGCAAATGGTTCAGGCCTGTGTCAGAAAGGAACGGTAAGCCACCGAACCTGCTTTCAAACCTCGCAGCTACGGGATCTCACCCTCCTCAACCAGGAGCCGGATGATGCGGTCAGAGTAGAAGATGAAATCGGATCGCGGTGTATTCTTGTCACGGATAATGGTGAGCAGGGCATCTGCCGGGAACAAGAGACCCCCGCAGCGCACACATCAGGACCACAATTCAGGCATCGAGTTTGTGCCTGAGTAGCTCACCCAGCTGTTGGGTCTGGTGGAGCCGAGTCGCATTAGGTGGCATGGATGGCTGGCTCTTGCCAGCCGCACCACCGTTGGACACAGCGACTTCAGCAGACATGCTGTCACAAATGCAATCGCGGCTCGCGCGGCAGACAGGCGATATAGAGAGAATCAGGGAAGGCACCTCTGCGTCTACTTCACGCGGCAATATTTGCAGCCGCTGCTGGATTTACTGTGCACCGAGTGGACTGTTTGCGGTGATCAGCAGAGCCAGTCAGATACGAAATGAATGTTGTGAACGATGAAGGAGAGATGGACGCAGACGCAATGGAGAATGAAGATAGCCTTCTTTCAATGCTTCTAGAGAACGATGCTGGTGATCGTGTGGCGGCGCTCCACCGCCGAAAACAGATGCCAACGAAAAGGTGCTGAGACCCCACGAAGATGTCAAAAGACACCCAGCGCTCCAATCTCGGCTCTCCATGTATCTCTCGTCAGATTTCTCAGTGTTATCTTTTCGGCAACAAACACCGATGCGACCAGCTCTGGGTGCAAGTGATGGATTGACGCCTTTAAAGCCTTCCCGTTCAATGATTCACATACTGGCCTCCAACTGAACCACCCGACCCCCTAAGTGCTGACACTCAGCATCCTACGTTTCACCGTTCAAGATGCCTCGCCACTCCAAAAACAGCACTGCCAGCGGGCAGTTCACGTACCACGAGCGGCAACAAGCAGCAAAAATCTGGGGCTCATCCACCGCGAGGCTGTCAGCATTTTCACAACGAGCATTTGATGCTTGCACCTTATGCCTGTCGACAGCACGCGATGCGGTATGTTGCTCTCAAGGGCATTTGTTCTGCAAGGAGTGCGCCTACGCAGATTTGCTCGCACAGAAGGAAGAGATCGAACGGCAAAGACAAGCAATTGCTTTGCTGGCGAGGCAAGAGGAGGCGGAGAGAGCGCGTGCGAGACAGGAAGCTAGGGATAGGGTCATCAGAGACTTTGAACGATCGTCCATTGGACTGGGTACCAACAGTGAAACATCAAATCGAACAGAGGGCTCGACAGGTATGTTACAACAGGTTGCCGCTTCAGAGTCCCGGAGACTGTCGCGATACTTATCTGTCTTCTGCTGCTGAATATCAGGTACATCAAAGCGGAAAGCGTCTGACACATCGCCTTCACACGGCGGAGATTTGTCTGGTATTGCGGCGCGTGCAGAGATAGCAGCGAAAGAAGCAGAGGAGCGAGCACTCGAAAAGCTATTAGACGAGCAAGCAGCCGCTCGCAAGCACAGAAAGCTGCCTAGCTTTTGGCTCCCCGAGCTCACGCCGAGCGAGCGACAAGACGCTTTTGCATTAGGAATCTATGGGAAAGGATGGGCAGCGACCAAAGGTGGAAGCGCACCGCTGGATATGAAACCGGTGTGCAAGGCTGCTGGCGAGAGAGGGCATACGCTGACGATGAAGCAGTTGGTCCCGGTACACTTTCAGCGTCCTTCATCCGATATACCATCGGCAGGAGGCGCAGCAGCGGATAGCGAGGCTTCTTCAATAACGAGCACGGCAGCATCGGCTACTTCAGCAGGTGCCCTCGGTGGAGGCGCCATTTGCCCAACATGCAAGGCATGCTTTACCCAAGCCACAACGATCTATATTCTTAGACGGTGCGGCCACGCGCTATGCCAAGCGTGCATCGATACTCTCGTTCTGGCGCCGCTAAAGCTCAACACAGCATCGCTATCCGTTTCCAACCCCGTTGTTGGAGGGAAACCGAGCGCGAAAGAGAAAGACGAAAATGCCGGCCGGAAGGGCCAGTGCGCTGAATGTGATACGAAGGTCAATGTGCCCAAGGACATCGTCAAATTGCAAACAGAGGGCACTGGTTTTGCAGCGGGCGGGAATGTGCTGATTAGCAAGAAAGGTATTGCTTTCCAGGGGTAGTATCGAGATTTGTGCATTTGATGTATTCGCACCTAAGCTACATGTCATCTTTGTCTACCCTCGTGATGACTGGGAGAACCAGATGATACTTGACTGGAGCGGTGTAGTGAAGCAAGGGGACCCGCAGTCCAGTGGCATTTTAATGTAGCGGCACTTTGCGGTGTTTATATCGTCGATTCTTTCGTACCCATTGCCATCTCCAACTGCCGTTTCCAAACACTGTTCTCAGCTGAAGGTGATCTGAGCTGCATGCAACTCGAGCTCCAACCCTACTTTGCTGCATTCCCCACTCTGCTCACAACATCTCGGCCGGAAAACAAAAATTTGGTCGTGCCGGACTCTATTTTCTGTCGAGATGACGATCTTCGCACCTGGAGAAATGCGATCACGGCCTTCCTGTACGTGGTCATTCGCCAGGCTGCAACAGGCTGGGGTTTATTTCCTGTGCTCACCCGTGTAGACATCAGTCTAGGTGCTCAGGTGTAGCAATCATGCCTATCGCTGCAGAGGACAAGGCTTTGTGCAAGGCGGGCCCGTCCAGCGGCGCTGGAAAGCCCGTCAAGGCAAAGGCCAAAAAATCAGACCCGGTGCTTGCACCTGTCCTCGCTCTGCAGCAGCAGCTCGCCTCGTCTGCCGATCTCAATCCTCTCCAACAGCTGATTGAGCTCTGTGTAAAGTTCGCAAAATCTGTGGCAGCATCTGACAGCGCTACTGCAAAAGGACAGACGGCTTCAGTGTCCACTTCCGAGGTCGCTTCGACTCTGAAGGCTGTCCATGTCTGCATTCAAGTTCTTCAGCGTTCCTTTTTGACGCTTCTCGAAGCCGACAGGATTCCGCTCCACTCGAGTATCGACGAAAGGGGCTGCATTTCCAGTGAAGGACTGGAGCTCAAAAATCCGGAAGAGCTAGTTGGCCGCTGGTTGCAAGGAAGATGGAATGCCTACGTCCTCTTACTTTGCTCGCTTCTTGGCTTCGAGACTGCTTCTGGAGGTGCAGCCGAAGAGGGAATCCGCAAAGAGGTGCTGGAAAGCCTAGTAGCTCTTCAAGTCGAGGCTAGTCAAAGCCTCACCCGACAGACACATCGGCGAGCCATGTCCAACGAGGGCCAGGAAAGCGAACTCGCCCCTCTCTGGGCACAATCACCCTGGAAGCCACTTATGCATGCACTCATCTTCGGATCCACACCGGTAGAGTGCCTCAAGGTGGACAGTGATGGGGGGGTCAGAGAATCATTCTCACTGACCAGCGGAAAAGTGCTGCAAGATGTTAGGCAGAAATTTGCAGACGACCTGTTGGAGAACTTTGATGATGTCCGGTACGCAACGTGCAGAGACATTAGGTGAGCAAGCGTGCATTCGGGACAGATTTGAAGACATGCTGACGCATTCTGCTGCACCTTTCAGTGGTGTGCTCCGCTCGCCACCAAGCCACGTAGCAGCAAACGAACAGTTGCGCTCCAACGCCCTTCAACTTCTCGTCTTGCTTACGGCTGTGCCGGTACAGGAATCGGACCTCAATGCCTTCCTTCTGCCGAACCTCGCCTCGCTGCGGAAGCCGAACAAGGGCAAGGGAAAAGTCAAGGACGGAGACAAGAAGCGAAAATTCACTGAAGACGGAGACTCAGATGAAGACGAAGAACCTTTGGAAGACTGGTTCTCCGACTCGGACGAAGAGTCGGGTCGGCCGCAAGATCGTACCAAGAAAGCAAAGGTTGGCGCAAATGGCAATGCTGCCACTGGCCTCGGTGGTGCGGCAGTACGCTCGCAAAAAGCAGCAAAGAATCGAAGGCGGCGTCAAGGATTACCTTTTTACCAAGCGGTACACTCGCTGCCGCAGCAGAAGGCAGCCTTCTCCAATGCCTGGCTATCATTGCTCCTCCCAGGGCTTGCCGAAGGCGGGGCCTCGGGTCCGATCGGCGGTGAAATATCTCTTGCTCAGACACACGAAGTTCTGCTGCGTCTGCACATTCAGATTCTTCCGCACCTCGTCAAGCCCAACATGCTGTTGGACTGGCTCGTCGACTGCGTGGATGCTGGCGGCGCGACGAGCCTGCTCGCCCTCAACGGTCTCTTCACGCTCATGATTCACCACAACCTCGACTACCCTGCCTTTTACACGAAGCTGTATGCGCTCCTGGGAAGCGCAGAGTCAGATGGAGTAGCAGAGGCCTCAGTCTCGGTCAAGACGACTCCTTCTGTCCTGCATATGCGTTACCGCTCGCGTTTCCTGCGCCTGCTGGAGACGTTCCTTTCATCCACACATTTACCGTCTGCACTTGTCGCATCGTTTGCGAAGCGGCTATCGCGTTTGGCCCTACGTGCTCCGCCAGCAGCGGCAGTCACGCTGGTCCCGTTTATCTGGTCGCTGCTCAAGCGGCACCCGCAGTGCATGCAGCTGATCCACCGCGACTTTTCGGCTTCTTCGACGCTGGGAGTTGGTGTCGCCGGCGGCAGTGCTATTGAGATAGACCGCTTCAGTGCTGGGCCCGCTGGCGTTGCCGACCCCTTCGACCCGCGCAAGACAGACCCAACCGCGACGCACGCGATCGAGTCGTCACTGTGGGAGCTTGCGTCGTTCGGCGCGTCGCTCGCTGCGGCGCAGAATGCAGGACGTGACCCGCTCGCGGTGCAAGGGCTCGGCGGCCAGAGCCACTGGCTGCACAGCGTGACGACGCTCAGTCGGATTTTGGCGGAGCCGTTCACGAGGGAGCGGTATGACCTGGAAGATTTTCTGGACATCACGTATGGCACGCTCTTCGATACTGAGACGGCGCCGATCCTAAAGCCAAATGAAAAGCGGCGGAATCCACCTCCTGCGCCTGTATTGGCGTATTCATTACCCGGGTCGCATCTCAAAGGCTCTAAGACGTACAGAGCGTTCGTCACGGCTTCCGCGTTGGCCAGGGCGCACAACTTGGAAACCAAGGAGGGGAAATGCGAAGCTAGTGATGTCGAAAACCAGCCGCCACAGAATCAAAAGGCCCTTGCTGCCTCAAACGATCCTATGGATCTGTGGGTTTTTTGAGGGGGCTTGGCGACATGTACTCTGGCTTTAGTCCGAAGAAGTGCTGTAATGGCTCATGTGATGATCTTTCGATGCTCGAGCTCTCAATTCGAATACCTCCATGGTCCGGGAGCCCCTGTGATGGGTAGGGCTGATGGCATGAAGACCCAAAGGCATGTGCATCATCAGGATAAGTAGAGTGTAATTGGGTTACACTTGGAACTGTAGGGTGACGCATAGATAAATACTGCAGATGTCTGCCTGGTCAGATGATGCTCATCGGTCAGGGTGCATAGATGGGTCTCCCATGAGATGCACGACGGTGCAAGGCGTCCAAGCGGTGAGAGCACGCTTCTCTATTTTCCCATACGCCGAGAACGCGCTCATCTCCGGCGAGTCCACGTCACAAAAGCGTTCGAACGGGTAATGCTCGCCCCGGCGATAGGTAGCTAGAGACGTGCGATCGCAAGCTAGAAGCCGTTGCGAGTCACGCACCTGAGCACCATCCGGGCTGTTCTCTGCGCAGACTGTAACTCATCGCATGGCCCGACCCCTCGGGCTTCAGCTTGCTCTAAGCCAAAGAAATTCTGGGGCCGAGACTCCATCGAAATTCTGAGCTTGGTAATAAGGTCTGGCTGATGAAGCTCCTGTTGAGGCCATCATCCGCTGATGTCGGCGGGCCTCGTTCACCAAAGTGAGGAAGTCATCAGGGATGAGTGATCCAGAAGGCCTGTTGCATTCAGAGAAGCTAAAGGTACACGGTCCCCGTGCTAACATCATGTGCCACAAGGCGCAGGTACTCAGCAGCGTTGGCGAGCCGTCAGATGGTGAGTCGCGCGGGCGAGAGGGAGAGAGAGCAGGATGAGTTTACGGGATAGAGTAATTGCGAGATAGAGATTGATGGAGATAGCGTCATGATATGTGACTGTGTGTCCCTGTGAGAGTCACACTCATTTTTGGCCGGACACTGGTTTGATCATGGATGAGACAGGAGAGAGGGGGAGGGGCGCCTCGGCTTGATCTCCAAGCAACGCCCAAAACAGTGTCTCATAGATTAATTGATCGGCCCATCGTGGCACACCGCACATGGTAATCAAATCTCCTCATCGCACCTCACTCTCCCATGTCCTCAGACTGTCTCCATGCAATCACGCTTTGCGTCCAGCGACAGGTCGACTGATAGTGGCAGTCACAATCAGCACTTCGCCCCCAGCGTCTTGTCGTGATCCCGCCGTGGACTCGGCTCTCACCCGACTCCGAGCCTCATAACATCCCCAGTTGAGTCGCACGCTGGTCTGTCTGTTCAAATATCTTCCTGCAACAAACACGCCTAGTCTCCAATCTGACCGTCAGCTCTTCACCGCATCGAATTTACCGACTGCAATCAAAATCGAATTCATCGCAAGATCTGCTAGACTGCGCCACGATGACCACGTCGCACACATAACTGCATGATGGAGCCGCCGTCATTGTAGCGCCCGCCCACAGCATGTCTGGGACTTTCCTCACAGACATTGACGAATATGTCCAAAAACGGATCAAGCATGAAAAGCAGCGAATGGTCTCATCGCTGGTCTTTCAACATCGGGAGAAGGAATCGCGAGCGCTCGGAGAGCTAATCGATCGAAAGTGAGCCTCTGTTCAATGATGTCTAGCATCGCACTCGAGACGTGTAGTGAGAGCCCCGCTGATGCTGATGCATCGGGGTCTCTCCTTTCCGCGACTTGTCGTGAACAGCTCGAACCCTAACAACGGGTGTTTGAGACGCCAACATGTTCGACCAACACGGTTACGCCGAGGCATTGCACGCCTCACTCTCCGAAGAGCGCGACGGACGCTTCGCTGTCGCGGACGCGTCGCTTCCAACACAAGCAATCGCATCCATGGGCGGCACACTTTTTGAGCGCCTTGAACAGCGCGGGCTGCAGTATCAGCGTCGGGTGCCGACGTCAGTCCCTGAGACGCTTTCAGCTGGTGCAATTGCCGGGCCTGAAGGTGCACCAAATAGGTTCCATACCAACGAGCTCGCTGAAGACCATGGCTCCGCGCCTGGTCAGCAGCACGGGCACACGTGGTGCTCGCCGCCCCCGCCGCTCTTCCGGCAGCTGCGCAAGAGCTCGCCACTCTCGCTCGGAAGTCGGCATGCATCAGACGAAGAGGAGGACGAGACCGAGAACGAAGGAGATGAGCAGCCAGAAACGTGCGAAGAAGGTGGCTCGGGGGTCCCACGGAAGCGACGCAGCGGTCCACACTGGTCGCCGGCACTGTCGCAGAGCGGACTGTCACAAGTACCTCGTGCACCTGCAACGCCGTATGGTCGATCTATGCCGTCTCTGCGCAACAGCAGCGGGCCAGCATGCAACGACAAGTCTAGCGCATCATGTTTTCGCCGCTCGGCCCTTTTCGACGGTCCAACTTCTTCCACTCGATCTGGGTCGGGGAGTGGGATCAACAACGGCTCGGCCGGCGCTTTTGCTTCCGGTCTCGGTTCATCGTTCCAGCACCGACGCGCGTCTTCCGGGCTGTCTTCACCGTGTAACGGTCTGTCGACCCGCAAGGGCTGGAATGGTAGTGGAGGTAGTGGTAGCGCTAGCGGCAGCAGCGCCTTGTACGGCCTCGGCATGGGTCCGGCGCAATGCTCGTCACCTGGTGCGTCGAGTCTGCACTCGCCTTCCTCCCTCTCTGCTTCTCTGGTCGGCTCGTACGAAGAGTCGCTGCTCTCCGGCCGCATGTCGGCCGCTAAGAGCAAGCCGCTCATGTTCGATGCTGAGATCGGTGTGCTCGGTACCGGGCCAGTCGCGCCGCCTCCCTCCTCACCTCACAATACAGAGCGGTCTGCGCGAGGGGCGGATGGTGTGATGACGGCAGACGATAGCGCCAGGAACGGCATTGGCTATGGATGCTCCTTTCCTCCACAAGTCCATGTGGCGGGGACAAAGCGACGCATGAAATCTGCTGCGAGCCTTCGCTGCCCCAAACACGTCAGCATGAAATTCCCTGCGCATTTCTATAATCTTCCCTCTGCCCGTCCGGGCTCGACCGATTTGTCCAGCTCAGCTTCCGGCGGCTCCGGTCGGGGCTCGACGATGCTCAGTGATGCGAGCATCAACAGTCCGTACGTCGGCAACATCGACCTGGAAGGACATTATATGAACCAACTGATCGATGCGCATCTCAGGATGATGGGAATCGATGGCGATGCTGTGCCGAAGGCTGAATATGGCACTGAACCTGCAAATACGTCAGACCCAGTGTCGACTCAAGCCTCCAGCGCCAGTGGGCACGAGCGCAAAGACAGCACTAGGAACGCGCTGCCTGCTTTCCCAGGTTACCGTGTACCGCCGAAAGGCCAGATTCAGCTAATAATCAAAAATCCAAACTCGATGGCGGTCAAGGTCTTTCTCGTGCCATACGACCTTTCAACCATGGAATGCGGTCGACGTACGTTTGTCAGGCAAAAGTGCTACGTCCAGTCCCCGCCAAACGCCGCTGGAGGCATCGTTCATCAGAGCACAGCTACTAGCCCCAAGTCCTCATTCGCTGGAACCTCCCAGCAGGGCAAGGACGCACTGCGGTACGCGGTACATTTGCAGTTCTGCTCGCCGCCCGCGGACTATGGAATGAGCAGCAAAAAGCGCGCTGCGTACTTGGCAGCGACTTTACACGGAGCGGGGACAGACGTTTCGACTGCTGTAGCCGAGCAGCGAGCACCGAAAATTTATCTGCACCGCATCATCCGAGTCGTCTTCACTGCTCGCCTGCCGGACAAGAGCGAGAAGCTCACCACGGTCACTGAGACGCTCAACTGTCCACCCTCTCCGCAGATGAATCGCAATACGCGCGAGGTGTCAGCTGCACAAGATCAGCAGCTGTCTAGCTCGCCGCAAAGCTTCAGCGACGCTTCTGGCGGACCTGTGTCGCCACATATGGACAGGCCTCAGCCATTGTATGCGTCGTACGCTGGGCCAGGCGACGAGTGGAACCGTGCGTTGCGCGAAGCTAAGATCGCCATCAAGCAAGCGGAAAAACACAGGCAGAAACTAAAAGCCGCGGAAAGGGCCGCCGCATTGCCCAGCTTAGAGCAAATGCAACGGGGTGACTTTGAGGGCAAGAATGGAGACGACCATGACGAGATGTCAGTGTCCGTGTCTGCCCTTGGCATCCCCATCGAATGGGCACCACCATCAGGGCGAGACCTGTCGGGCTACGATGCAAACGGAAGCTTTGGCTCTCCCTTTACCCCCCTTAGCGAGCCGAACTCAGATCCGAACGGAGAGAGGTGGCGCGACGAGATAGAAGCACACGTCGGAGCAAGCAGAACGTGTGGCGAGACAGTGGCACCGGCTGCTGTGCTCGGCTTGCACTTGCACCACGTTGCATCTGATGGACAGCGCACGGCGATGTCTGATGCCAGGCCGAGCACCAGCAGCATCGTGGTACCGCCTGTTTCATCGCAGTACGAACCCAGGCGGACCCGCGCTCAGACGTTCGCCTCAGGCTCTAGCGGCTCGCCACCGCTCACGAGCTGCTCTTTGGCCCATCTAGAAAATGTTTCCGTCGCTCAGGAAGGGCGGGGGCAGCCAAGTGCGCCGGCACTTGCGGCTGTGGCAGACGACTCACGCGCCCTGCTTGAAGCGTGGCACCAGAGTCTCCGTAGGCGCGCTGCTTCGCCACTCTCCAGTTCCAGGCCTGTGTCGGGAAGAGCGAGCCCGGAAGTTATGCGATACGGCTCGCCGGTGCCCTCGCCTTCCATAGGACCTACGTCCCCCTCCGGGTCTGGGAGCGGACATGGGCACGGACACACTACCCGCGGAAACCGGGGTCTCACTGTTGTGTACCAGCGGCCCTCGAGTCGGAGCGAGAACTACATGACTGCTTCTGTTTCTGCAGGCTATCCCCGTCTGCCATCTCAAAGCAACTTGGTGGCAGATGAGGACGTGCCGCCGTCAGACTACATTGGGCGACACAGTGAGACATCGTCGTCGAGCTCGCATACTCACGGTCAAGGCTTGCTACCTCAGACGCCGACGACTAGCCCTCCAGTGATAGCTCAGGTGACACCGCTCTCGGCTATGGCGGTCATGGCCCACAGTGCAGCGCAGGACGAAAAGCAGCTTCCAGATATTGCGGCGCTATCGATCCAGCCGCTGCAAGCGCCTTCGCGCTGATTCATGTTTGATTCAGGCGGAGGTGGAACAGGTGCCTTTGTATGAATTTGCATTTCACGCAGGTAGGTGAATCTACGATACAAGAATGAAAATGAGGAAGAATATGATGAGCACCTGAAGAACACGAAGCTCGACTGTCAGTCGTCCGCGAGGAGTCAAGAAGCGCGATCGAAGGGAGCCACACTCACGCCGAAAACTTTGAGCATGAGCCATCGGTTCGAGCTGACACTGTTGTAGTACTTGAGCAATTCTCTCTGTGCCCCGGAGACATTGTCGACAACGTCGTATACGTTCTCGTCGATTCGTTGCACCGTCTCGCGCTGTTCTGCGACCATGTGAGCGAGTTGTGAAAATATGGACCCGAGCTCGGAGATGGTCGACTCGATCGACTCAATCGCTGTTGATCGTTGTTGCATGTAATTGTCCTGAGTGAAGAGCTCATGGAAGTGAGCATTGAGAAGATGGGCTTGTATTCTGGGAGGCTTACCTGATGTTCCATTAGTTGCATTTGCATATATTGCCCGCCATTGGCATGCCCTCCCGCTCCAAGGGAGGAGCTGCCCATGTCCAACGCCAGGAACTCGACATCAGCGCCTGCTGGCGCGCCAGCCTTGCCCATGCCCATCTCCTCCCCCCTCGCAACGCCAGCAGCACCACCTCCGCCCATATCATATCCAGGCAGTTGCCTGTGTGCAGCAGCAGCGGTGCGGTTCGGCTTGTACAGCGGCGAATCTAAACGCGAGGGAGGCGTGGGCGCACCGCCGTAAGTTGTGGAGCCAGGTGTGTCCGGTACGAAAGGAGCAGGGGCGCCAGGTTTGCGGGAGCGAAGGACTAGGCGAACGTCAGACCGTCAGGCTCTCAGTGATCTGAGAGTACCAGAAAGGATACAGGGCCTGCCCTTGAGACGGAAAACTCACCTGAATTCTCGCCTGGGGGCATTGCGGGCGCGGCGCCGCCGAACATGAACTGGTCTGTCCGGTCTTTCGATGCTTTCATATTCTGTGCACAGCTCTTTGTCAGGAGCAGCCCAAAGAGTCATGTGCCAGGAGATCGCAAGCCTCACCTGCGTGCGAACTTCAAGGATATCTTGGAAGCTGGTAGTCGCTTCTGCGAGCTTGGTCTGCAGCAGTGTGACCACATTGCCTCGATGTGTATCGACCTTCTCCGTCCCTTTTCCACCTTTCCCTTTTCCTTGCGCCTTGTTGTAAGACTGCAGATCCGCAAGCTGCTTATTGATGGCGGCAATGTCATGCTTGATGATGTAGGTCAGCTCGGATATTTCGACCGGCCGGTCGTCAAAGAGCGTCTTTCGTCGAGCGACTGTTTAGCGTCAAGGATGAAGCCAGGACCACCATCTTAGCCCCTCTGTATCACTTATCAACGCCATGCGAGCAACTTACGCTGCGCCAACTTCCCAAGTTTCTCAGTCGTGCTCGCGATATCGCTAGCGATTGCCTGCGCTCGCTGCGCGAATTCCCCCTTTGCCGCCTTCTTCTTGCTGGCCCCTTGCCCTGCCGCCGCGGATGCCGAGCTTTCGCCCGGCTGTTCCAGGAGCCTGTGCCGCGCAGATGTTGCGGGTCCTGTTGAGCCTGCTGGCCCCCCATTGCGCAAGCGTATTGACTCGATTATCGACTTGAACTCTGTCGTGCGGTCTCGGACGGACGAGGGTGTGGGGTGATATGAGGTCCGCATCATCTTGCCGGGGGTGGCGCGGTTCGAGCAGGCTCAAGGGTGTGAAGCGCAGCGTTAGATCAACGTCTAATCCAGTGTGAACATGAATTGTTGAGAAGGGAGCTACCGGCTTTGCCTTCGGTTTACATGATACATTACGATGAGGTGCTTTGGGAACGTCAGCGTCATATGCTAGAGCTAAACACGACATCAAAAGCGGCACACGGTGAGAGTGTCGCAAACTCGTGGCTGCTGTCCGGCCGAAAGGCACAGTGTTTCGCGCTGGAGCGCCACGCACCACTTGCTCCTATCTCATGGAGGTATTCGTGGTCGACACCATTATGGCTCACCAATCTAAGCAACAGGAAGATCTCATTGCGTGTTTGAGCGCATAGCGGTGGGCGTGTTCGCTCCATTCAAACTGAGCCGCCTGCCATGTCTTTCCAAGATCTCGAGCGCGGCTCGTCCTCGCGGCCGACGCCAGCATCCACAGCTCCTGCTCCAGCACGAACGCTGGGCACCAAAGTATCAGGCGGTTCGACGTTGCCGCTATATCACGCGCCTCCCTCTGCGCCGTCAGAGGACGACCAGGAGTTCAAGAAGCTCGCGGATCGGATTGGCATCCAGATCTTCAAGATCAACAGCAATGTCGCGGCCATCGAGAAATTAGTCCAGCTTAGCAAACGGGGTAACTCCGACGTGCAGGGAAAGGGGCAGCTGGACTGGGCGCAGAGAGTGTGGGCCTCCAATTGCGCTTTACGATTGTTTGGAATCTTTCAAAGCGAGCTGACATGAATGCAACGCTGCCTCCGCAGCCACGACCTTAACGAAACGACTCGGTCACTCGTCAAAGACTCGACTGGGGACGTCAAGTCGCTATCGCGATTCACAGCCCCATCATCGGGCGCAAATCATAAGACGAAGCTCGCCGTCGCAAAACTACAAAGCGACTTCGAGCTGGCTCTCAAGGGCTTCCAGAGCGCGCAGCGGCTAAGCGCCGAGCGGAATCGCGATGCACTCGAGGGGGCAAGGCGGGAGGCAGCTGCGAAAGGTGCAGCAGGAAGTGCTGCTGCGCAGAGGAGCCTGGGGAGAAGCAAGGGTACTTCCAATAAAGCGTGAGTCCGTCCCGGTGCAGTATTGCAACTTGTTCTCCCGCGGTGATAGCTGATCAGGCTGGCACCATGCTGATCCCATTGCAGAGCGCTTGAGTCTGAGGAAGCGCAGCTGGTCGATCTGGGCGGATCGCAAGCGCAGCAGGTCCAAGGCAACGGAAGCGGCGAGGAACAGGCACAGGTACTAGTACAAAAGCCCAAGGGGCCGAGTCAGTCGGAGCTGGAGTTCCAGGAAACGCTTATCGCCGAGCGAGAGGCAGAGATCGAGGAGATCGAATCGGGCATTCACGAGCTCAACGAGATCTTCCGCGATCTCGGGCATATTGTGCAGGAACAGGGCGGGATGATTGGTGAGTGCAGGGCCTGCACATACTTACAGGGGCGCATTCTGCCTCTGAACGATTGACTGACATGACCCATTTGAACCACATGCCCACCGACAGACAACATCGAATACAATATCACCTCCATCGCGACAAATACGGCAGGCGCAGATAGAGAGCTGGTCAGCGCCCACGAATATCAGCGCAAAGCCGGACGACGAGCAGCGTGTCTGCTGCTGATCGTCGGTGTCGTCATTGCCATTGTCTTGCTTGCTGTAAGTGACACGGAGAAAGGCAAAGGGAAAGGTCGTCTCAAATGGCATCAAAGGACTTATGGACTGACATTCTCATTCATGTTATTGCGCTTGCAGCTCTTGTCATGATACCGTTCCTTGCCGCGTTATTTTACGGCATGTGCACGTATTGCGCTGGTTGACTGGGCTTCATTAACTTTCTCGTGGGTAATTCCATTAGGGTGTACAGTATGTAGGAAATTAGAGCGAACTGCCAGGCTCCGATGCTGTAGAGCATATGGCCCATCGATGTGCGCTTGACGGCGTTAAATACAAAGGTGATGTCGAAGATAATTCTCAGAGAAGAGTTCATGACAGCGGCTGCTTAGAAGCTGCCGATCGGACACTGCCTGTGCCAGAGACTCCTGTCGAGTTCGCGCCAGCACCCGGACCCGCACCCGTGCCGGCACCAACGTTGCTGTCATAGACCAGCTCCCTCGCCCTGCTCTGCGCCGGGTGCGTGACATCGAGGTTCGGCGTGAGGTCTGGCAGGCCCTTGTTCATCTGCTCCTCGCCGAGCACGCGGTAATACTCCTCGAGCAGCTTGGCGTTGCGCGAGTTGGCCTTCCATACCGCGAGCATCACATCGCCAACGAGAGGGATGATACCGATGCCGGCGGAGACGGCATTATTGATTAGCATGTTCGTGATGAGCCAGTCAGGGATCTCGTCTTGCTTGCGCAGAGGCTTGACGACGAGCGAGTAGTTGAGCACCGCGTCCGCGACATCGCCGACACCTGGCACTAAGCCTAGGATGAATGTCCAACCGAACCTAAGACCGCAGCTGAGCAAGCAAACCCGGAGAAGAGAGGATATGTGAGCCTGTCATCTCAGCCACAATGCTCATCTTTTTGCTCGGATGGATGCACATGTAAAACCCTTTGTCGAGGTAGTGCGCGCGCCGCGCGATCTTGCGCAGCAACTTGGCCTGTTTCTTGGTCAAGCCAGGCGGGGGCGGGCGCTTGCGGCGCTTGACTTTGTTGGTGATTGGGTCTATCACTTCATAGTAGTATGGGTCCTGCACAGCGCACGATAAAGGAGACCGCGCGCAGTGGCTTCTCAGCTGCAGCCATCTATGCAATGACAGAAAAAGGCTTGGGAGCCATGCTGCGTACCTGTGGCTCGTACTGCTTTGCATGTTCGCTGACTATCTTCTTCACACGGCCCGTGGCGAAGGATGTGATGCCGACCATGTCGGCAGAAATAGCGAAGGCTGGTAGAATCGCTGTGTTATTTCGCCCCGAGGTGTCTATCGACAAAGTGGTGCGTCTCTTGGTCTCTAGTGCTTTCCACCGGTTTGACACGGAGTCGAAACCCGGAGAGTGGTAGCTTGCCTGTTTGCTTTCTCTAATCGTGCATGTGGCAGTTTTCAAGGAGGATGCGTCACAATACGCAAGTCAAGCTCGTCTTCAGTAACAGTTGTGGGTGCTAGCAAGCTTCAACACCAATTGACTACCTTGCCACAGAGGTGGTGGTCGTAATATGGGTGCCAAGAACTCAAAGCTTTCATCAAAAGTCAGGCTGATTGTTGCTTCTGGCAGCATTGCACCAGTGTCTTTGATCCCCTAGCAAATGACGTCGACACCACCTCTCCCCCACCGCCAAAGGTCTCGAACGTCGGCGTCTAAACCGAAAACAAACCGAAAGTCACCAACGTGCCCAGTCTGTCGCTCAAAGGTTGAGTCCTGTTGAGTTTCACGCGTCACGGACCTCACGCGCGCACTCATAAGGGGCGTAGCTGAAGGAGTGCAGTCAGATGCGCGCTGCCGCTGGTGGCAGTGCAAACAGCTTTATGCAGAGCATATCTGCCGTTCTGCTCCTTGAAAGCACAATACATCACTATAAGCGACAAGATCAGGACGAAGGGGAATCATAGAAACTCATGAGAGAGAGCGCATTCTGGTCCGAGTGGTGGGTTCGTTATGCGTCTTGACAAAGTGAGTATACAGGAGGCCGTGCGCTGCAGAACATCTGCACATGCTCGTGCAAACAGGAGTGTTGTGCAGAGATATACGCCAAATATGGACGACAAAGAATTTATTTGCCACGCCCTACCACCCACTTCCTCATCCTTATCCGAAAATGAATGCCCCCAGTTTCTGGTTAGCAAGCCACCCCATTATCCCACATATTCTGGGCCAGCACCTGTGTCCCGTGTCCTCGCCACCTATGTCCAGGTTCCATCTGCCGGGTAAAGCACAGAGCCTCTTTCATCATCACAATCCCAAACATCGTCTTGATGGTTTTGATTCTTGCTTGCACAATCGATGCGCAACGGCGCAATGCATACGAGAACATGCAATAAGTACTACTTGGATCCAAATCTGGGCCCGTGCCATGTGTTCTGGAGTAGTCCTGAAATGCATTGCGGTGGGTGCTCGCCAGAACGGATCTGCAACCGGGTCAATAGTTTTGTACTATGTAACCCTAGACTCTCCTCCGTGCGCTTCCCTGTGCCTGCCTGGTGCTCTCGTGGACATTATGCGCCGCGTCGTATGATCGGTCAATCTCGTGCGACAGAGTAATCGTGAGTTTGATTAACCCCTACGTAGCATAGCTCTATGTATGAACATATGGATCGTCATACAAAAGAGATACCCAGATACCCCCTGTGCCTCCTAATGGACCAATATGACCGGCCATCCCTCCGCCCCTGAAGCCTTCAGGCCGGTGGGTGACAAACCCCGCTTCTCTCAGCTTGCATCGTACTCCTGCCACCTGTTCTGCCCCCATCCTGCCCCGCCGCCCAACCACTGACATCCGCCACCCCCGACACGAGGCTATTGCCGCTTGTTCGCTTTCTAGCTCTCTTTACTGTGCTGCGAATATGCTCCCCATCGCCCCAACCCCTTTCTTGAAGCCTCTCTTTGCCCTCTCAGCTGCCATCCTTTGCGTCGCACAATTTGCAGCGGTGGCCGCCAGCGCACGTGCCCCTGCGCTGCAAAGCAATACAGCCCCTCATACCCGCTTTGGCCTCCCCCTGAGGGCTGCCTCGCCCCTCGTGGGCGATCACAGCAGCGCGGGTCAATCGCAGACAGGTGGCGTCTCGCCTGCAGTCGCCGCCGATGCTGCCGCTCCTACAGTTCCTCTGAGGAACTTTGAGGTCAATGTCCCACCACGCGTCGATTCGCGCAGGCAGCACCTTAAGGAGTGCAAGATCCAGTTGATCAGCCGTGCTTTTGCAAACAGGTAGGTGAAGCGTTTGCGTTGCAACAGGCGCCATAAATCTGACCAGTTGCACGTCCTTGAACTTTCCTGAACTCTGACGTGCAGCTATGGAGACCCTTCCGTCTTCTCGTACTCTCCTTCGCTCCTGCCTGTCGGTTGCTCGGACCCAAACGAGTGGGTCTCAATCGTGCTCGAGCAGAACGGCACCTCCAAAGGCCGTCAGTTCGACCGCCTCGGTACGGTGTGGCTCGGAAACGAGCACGATGGGTACGGCCTGGAGCTATGGCGCACGGATAACCCCGAGCCGACGTCATACGGGATTGTCTGGTCGACCAGAAAGGACGTCAGTAAGTACTGGCCCTTCTTGAGTAAAGATGGAAAGATGGTCTTCGATTATCCGAACATTGTCGATAGCACGTACACCGGGATCTTAGACAGTGCGTATGAGTACTTGACTCTTTGCGCGTGTCCAGCTTTCGATCGCGCTCATTTCCATTACTCTTCCCTGTAGTTACGCTGTCTCTCAGCGTCTACCTACCCAATCACCCCAAGCAAGTCGTCTTGGCGGGCCCAGATTCTGCAGCACAGCATGTGATTGCCCATCGCTCGACGATGCGGAAGCGTGCGCAAGGCCACAAGCCCGCGGCTCAAGTCCCGTTTTCTGGCAGCATCACCAACAGCAGTATTAGCGCGACTTTTGAAGCTCATCTCCATTCCTCGCCTTTCCTCAAAGACCGCACGGCCGATGTCTTGATCCCGCTCTCGACTCGGCAGTCAAACGGTAACTCCCTATTCTCCTTTGGCGGCGCCTCCGTCGACGACAACAGCTCGCCGTCCGCATCGGGTCTGACGATCGTGTCCAACTTTCCACGCAACGCGCTTTCCGCCATCGTGGAGATCTACGCATCCGGCACCGCCGCCGAGGAGTTCTGGTACACGTCCATCCCGGACGAGGTTTACAAAGAGGTTCCTTCTGTGACGGCGCATAATTTGGGCCTCTACCCGCGCGGACCGTTCAGAGAGGTGCAGCTGCTGATTGACGACAAGCTCGCGGGAATCGCTCTGCCTTATGCCACCATTTTCACTGGTGGCATCAACCCGCTGATGTGGCGCCCGGAAGCGTCGTTCGGCGCATGGGACCAGCCAACGTACCTAGTTGACATCACTCCTTTCCTCGGCTCGCTCAGCGACGGCAATGACCACACCTTCCGGCTACGTGTAGTCAGCGCCGAGAAGAACGGGACGATTAACGCTAGTTGGTTCCTCAGCGGGAACGTGCAGGTGCACATCGACCCGACCAGCGACGAGCCGACGACGGGAGAGATCACACGGTATGGCATCCAGCCCTTCGCACTGCCCGCTGCAGCATTCCGCACCGCCGGAAAAGTGCAAGGTGACCTTGACAAGGATGGCAGCTTGACCGCCGAAGTGCGCATCGTCCGCCCTCGCACGATCCTGATCGAAGCCAACGTCTCGCGTCCCAGCAAGAGCCATCAGAACGATCCGATGCACGTCAGCTGGAAACAGGAGTACAGCTACTCGAACTTCGACTCATCGGGGCCCACATTGCAGGTCATCAACCAGACGTCCTCGGGAAAGTCGCGCAGCACGCACGGCGGCCGCCCGTTCCTGGCTTGCGAATTCGACTTTCTGCTGGACGTCTCGCTGGTAGTGGATAGCAGCACGCTCAACACAAGCGTCGACCATCGGTACGAGGCGCTGACGAATTTGTCACCCCAGGCACTCAACTACTGGCTACCCAGCGAGACGACGATCCACATGTATCAGACCGCGCAAGCAGCATCTACCATTCAGAACGGTTCGATTACCAGTGGATTCGGCATGACGTCAGAGAGGTAGTGAGTCGCGACGGGCCGAGCAGCGCTAGTTAACATTCGCGCATCGTGACAGGTCACAAGTGGCTGACCCATCCCAATCTCCTAAATTCTCCAGCTCTTACTCTGACTCGAAAGGATACACGTTCCACCGCACAACGAGCGCAAACAACACCAAGGTCACAGATAAGATTGGCGGAAACTTGGCGCCGTACGCGTTGCCTGTTGTCTGATCTTGCCCCACTGCGCTGCACTGCACTGAAATGCCCCGTGCCGTGTTCCTCTTGTTGTACTCAGCGGTTATTGGTATTCTTGAAGCTGTGAAATGGAATTTGGTGGCTTGCCTAAAACCCTCCCACACGCCTCGGCGCTCTGCACCACATACCTGAAAGTGATTTATGTATTGGCGTGATTTGTTTATGAATCGAGTTGCACCGAATGCTATTCACACAACTCGCAGCGGAATGGCCTGACAGTGTGGGACGCGAACCCAAAAGCGAGATGTACTGGTAAGTTGCAGAGCCCAGTTATCGGCACCTCATCTTAGGGCTTGTACAGCTCGATAGAGCAACGAGCGTCATCGAAGAGGTCGTCGAACACACGTGCTCAATATGGCAGACTTGGCTCTTCTCCGCACAATTGCCTCCCAGCACCCCGCAGTGGGCGGTCCTGGCCGCCGCAGTAACGCTGTGAAGGCGTCCATTGAGCGACTGATCGATCGTGCCAGATGGTACCACTCGCTCGTCCAGCGCGCTGTACGCGAGGGTACGTTCAAGAAAGAGAGCGAGCGGATAGGGGCAGCGACGCTACACGTTTGTGCATATGCCGCTTTTGTGAGGTGCGCATGCAATCGATACGGGCAATACTGTGGGACTTACACCGTGCAAGGATTATATGTCGCTGACATGTCCTGCCGTCCTTTTCACCTTGCGACAGCCTCGATCCAGAAGACAAGGTGGCACACAACGTGTTCTTCGACCGCATACGGCCGCTCGCTTCTCTCAAGAAAGATGCGTTCATTGCAGCTGTCAAACAGGTGCACCAACTTGCTGCCCAGGGTCATATGCCACCGGTTGCCGAGATAAGCAGCAATGCTGCTGCCGGTCCTGCGCTGCATTCGTCAACAACAGCATCGGTAGCAGCAACGCGACAGATATCAAGAACAAAAAGTGCACCTCAAGAGCGATTCTCAATGGCGCCTTCCATTGGGCCGGCTGCAAAGACGCGAGCATCATCGCGTCTCTCATCCGCTTCAGAAGCGCTGCTGGCGCCAGGATTGTCAGCAAGCACAGCTATAAATCCGACAAGCAGCCAACCGATGCATAGCAATACTGCAGACTCACAATCGATATCTGCCAAGGCGATGCAGGTAATGAACAAGAATTTCCTGCGAACCGTGTCCACCGGAGCGTCTGGCTATTCTGCTGCAGCCCATGTCTCGACTTCTTCGGTCTCCCCTTCCACGTCTTCTAAAGGCAAACAGAGTCAGCCATCCTCCGTGGCCAATCGATCTGCACCGCCTGCCAAGAAACGCAGACTATCTCAGGCCGAAGAAGGGCATCTTGCTTTCAAGGCGGCCATGAACAAGAGACCAAGCGCTCGCTCTTCAATGCAGCAAGCTTCGGCGTCCCAGTTATCGATGGCAAGATTCTCACCCGTTTCGTCGCAAATGAACGGAAACACGAAATTATCGAATTCGATGCCCGGAGCTCCTTTTGTCGCTACTTCTGACTCGGAAGAAGAGCGCGAATTGCAACGGGAACAGGACAATCAAACGGAGGAAGAACAAGGCATGCGGATCGAGAGCGAGGACGAGCTAATTAATGCACTGCCGCCTGGGCAAATGCAAGGGGAGACTCAAGTGCCATCTGTTTCTGCAACTATTGATGGTTCTTCAGCTGCTAGAACTACCCAGTCCGAAATATGTAAGCGTCAATTTGTTTATTCGTCGACATTCTTTCGCCCCACCACTGCGGACCTTCATCCCGACCATGGGCGCGATCGCGATGTTCATGAGCGTCCAGCGCAGACGGTAGACGTAATGACGGCAGCGACGGCGGTGAACCAGATCGTCCGCACGCGTGCCGTCCGCTTGACACGAAATGCTTACATCCCAACCTACGCGCGCGCACCATCGCGTCTCACATGTACATCCGCCATGCTTGCGCCGTACGCCTGCCGACTCGCCGAGATGCAGGCCACCAAGTTATATGGCGGCGAATATGTCGATTGCGATGGCATGAGCAGGGAAGAGATGCGCGATTGGTTGCACAAGTGGGAGGAACAGACGCGCAGGGTGCTAGGGAAATCCATGTCAGATTAACTCATTGCCTTCGTGGACGCAAACAAGACATCTGTACATGGAAAACTGTGCGGTGCCTGTTCGCTGAGTGACGCAGCAGGCTGCAAGGGCACGTCGCTGTCAGACCCGCACAATGGCCCCACACCCTTCCCTTCCCCTTGCGACTCCGACTGCAGTAGCAGAGCCCTCCCCAGCTCCAGCCAAGGCTCGGTTCCGAGGACGTACCGCGCGCCGACCTTCTCAAACACCCATTTCTCTGCTTTACTAGCTAACATAATCTGCCACAGCGTCCAACTGAGCGTGGAATCGCTTGGATCTGGAAACTGTGTATCGGTGTCTGGATCTGCTCCCATTGACTGTGTCGTACTGTCAGACCAATGCTGCTTGTTTTGCTGGACACGCGCTTCAAATGCAGCGCGCTGGCGTTCACTGAGATGGTTAGCACAGCCAAGCGCCCACTTCCAGAAACGCTGTCTGACGCGCTGAGATGCGCTTGCCTTGGTTTGTCCCGCAGCGGCAGCAGAGAGGGCGCCACCGGGTGTGAGCGACCTAAAAAAGCGCTTGAAGGCTCCTTGATCGTTCACGCCCCAGCGTCGCGCTGTGATCGAGCCGACAAGCAGCGCTGTCTCCGCATCAGGCCATAGAAGCATATCCGTGTAGAACGCAAATGAGCGAATGGAGATGGTGAGTTGATCTTCCCTCTCTGCTGTGCTGCTGCTGCCCGCTACTAATATTGGAGGCTCGCTCGGGTCGGCGCTAACAACTCGAATCGAGAGAGAGGGGTCGAGTTGAACGCGTTTTTGCACGAATGCCAAAACACGAGCTTTGCACGCCTTTTCAGCGCCCGAGGCTTCGGGCCAGAGGATGCCGCCTTTGAGCGTCTCCGTGCGGATATTGGATGCCACAGCGCCGCGGTGTTGCTCGACAGGGTTGAGTGATGGTGGCCATCCCACGCCGTTCCACTCCGTCGCGCGAGGCGCTGCCGACGATGCAGAGAGCGGCTCTTGCATATCTGGACGGCCGAACGCATCGAGGCGATAACGGAAATGCAACTTCCCTGCTTCGTACAAAATTCGTGGGAAGGTGAGGAAGAGGGAGAACGGCTGCTTGGCCAACGCAAAGAGCAGATTGGTCGTGCAAAGCGGCTCAGCGCCACCAGAAGTGTTGGGATGGCAGGCGAGCGTGGCAAGGAGCTTTTTCCGTAACGACGCAGGTCCGGCAGCCGAGTTTGTTCCTGTAGATTCGCCTTCAGGACGGATCAAGAGGAGCAATCGGATATCCAAATCAGGTCCGATGTGCGGGCCACCTCGAAACAAGTCGCGTATAAAAAGTCTGTAGTAACCACCACGATCATTGAATGGACTGACATGGAATGAACGAGGAAAAGTCCACTGATGATCATAGCCTATTCGCAGCTGATTCTGCGGATCTTCCTTGGCACCGGTTTGCAGGATGTAGACGTGTCGTTCGGAAAATGTGTTGTGCACTTCTAACACAACGAGCCAGAGTGAACCGCGCTCCGCAGATGACCCGGGTGTTGGTCTGTACATGTAGTATACAGTCAGTGGGTTGATTCCGTTGAAGCCAAAGTAGCTGGGCATGGTCACAGCCCAGACTTGGCCAATGTGCTCTCGCCACGAGTCTAGTGGAGCATCTTCATCTTGTGGCCCGATTGGCAAGAAGCCTTGATCTCGCAATTCATACGCTAACTTGAGCAGTATGGAGGACTCAACTGTCCGTATCCGGTCTGCTCTCGTTGCTGACGGGCGCGATGCAACGAGATCAGGGAAGTTGAGTCGAAGATAATTCGCCGGCTTGATTGCAGTGATCGTTCTCTTACTGCTGAGTCGACGGCCATCTCTGCCTTGATTAAGCATCCCTCTCCATGAGAAGGCGAGCCTTCCATCTATGCGGCCGGTCTCTAACGCAGTCAATTCCACAGCGTAGTATAGCGTTGTGTACCGGAATTGATGTCGAGATTGGATCGGCAAGAAGCGTGCATGGTGGACATCGGCTTGAAAGATGTACCCATGCGCTGAGCCAGAGCTCTTCGCGCGACGATTCGCCGATCTACGAACCAGAGACAACAGAATTACGATGAGGAGAGTTGGAAAGACGATAGGGTCGAGCCATGGATGGATTGTCGTGGGCCTTGTAAGCGCACCTTGGGTGACAAAAGGCAACGCCGAGAACAACTTCTTCGCATTCCTCATTCTCGGGCCTGGATCCCGGTGAATTCCAGTTGCTATAGAAGTATAATTGATTGATGCACAGCACGTCTATGGTAGAACTGCCCATCTGCGAACTCAGGCGTAAGATCGGGTTCAGGAGGTGGACTTGGTGAGCTTTGGAAAGCGCAACATGTGTGTTGGATGATGGGTCTTTCGAATGATCCTTGCATATCGTACTTCAAAATTTCAATAGTATTTAATCAATATTCAATATTCAAATGCCATGATTTATGATGTTATAATTTGATCGGTGGTATACCCTATTGATTCTATGATGCTCGGTGATTTAATTATATTACAGCTATTTTTTGTGGAGAATTTGGTCGCTTCATCGCCTTTCCGGATCCGCTTTTGCCGATTAAGGTCCATTCAATGCATCCAATCGTTACTCGAAGTCCACGTGAAGCTTGTCGCCTCGCGCTGGGTGCACTACTCCCTTCTGATATGAGTATCCTTTCTGTTGAGCCCTTTGCGCTTGCATTGTTGACTCTGTTGCGAATTGTAAGCGCTTCTCTGCCTCAATTACTGCCGCTGCAAGCTAGCGTGGTGTTTCTGACGTGTTCTCTATCTAACGATATCAGAGACATTTGCTGATGAGAATCACCTCTCAGTAAGCTTTCGTCTGTGATCGGAGAAATCCCCGAAACAGCGTGCCGAGAGTGTAACTTTTTTATGTAATGACCCCGCTCTCCCATCACGCTCTCCACTCGCTTATTGCTGTCACCTAACTGTACATCCTACAGCAGGAGAGTCGATACATCGGTCCTCAATTGTCGTCGCCCATGCTCAAAAAGCCGGAACGCCGTGCCGTGAAGCTCTGCTGCATCCGCCACGGCTGAGATACGCCCTTCACAATGCTCGGCGAGTGCAAAGGTTCTCCTAAGATGAACGCCCGAGCGGCTCGCTCTCTCCAGTTTTCGGGCCCTCCGGTGCCCAAATTCCTCCAGTCGTTGCACTCCCAAGTACATGGGTCGCAAGGGTCTGGATCAAAGGCTAGCCGTGGTGGCGATGAGCTGGATGAGCTTCTCTCCCTCGACCCGGATCGACCCATGATACCGGTGCGACCAGGAGGGCCAGAGAATGACCAAGGGGAGATTAGTGGGGATGAATGGGACGGAGCTCAAATCGTCGTTCTCAAGGATGGAAGGCACTTGACAGCCGATGAAGTCAAGCAGGCTGCAAAAGGTGCGCTTATCTGGCTTCATGAACGTGTAACGATAAAGTCTGAAATGAAGCTGGAAATTGCAGACTGCCACCCGCCGTCGATGGGCTCAAATGTGTCAAACTCTTCGGTTGCTGTTGGCGCCAAAATTTCACAGCCTGGCTCCGGTATTACCGGATCAAAGCGGCGAGCCCCAGTCGACGACTCCACAGCTATCTCACATACTTCTGCGTCCTCAGAAACGCAAGCACAGACAGGCATCAGCAGCGCCAAGATGCACGTTGCCAACTATCAAAACGGGATGGGTGAGGCCAAAGACCTCATCTTTGCAAAAAAGCGACAGCGAGAAGACGAACAGATAAGCGAAAAGGAGAAGAAGCGGAAGGCAAAGGAGGACGAAAGGCAGAGAAAGAACAGAGCTGCTAAAAACGAGAAGAAAAAGAGCGGGAAGGGACTGAGCTTTGACCTGGAAGGTTAGACAATGGGGGATCGTGGATGCACTCAACTTTACTGTAGCATAATCTAGACGCTGTGTCATGCGAAATTGCAATCCCAGAAGCCTGACGGAAAGTTGCGATACGGCGCTATTTCAGACGGTGTGGAACCGCAAATTTGATCTGGACGGAATGCGAAAACGGAGAAGGAGGAAGAGCCTGCACTTTAGCTTCAGTTACCAAAGTACTGTTGATAAGCTCAATGATTCATGCACATTGGAGAACAAGTACAATTGGCGACTCGAAGTACCTGGGCCAATGTAATCGCACGCTCAAGTCGTGTGATAACTTGTTCAATGATCGTTCGTTCCTTATCCTTGGTGATTTCCGGCAAAGCGCCTTCCTGAGTCACCTTCATGCTTTAATGTGCCTGAGAGAGGCGAGAACTGACGACGTATAATCCACATGCGTTGAGTAACTGGATATGCGCAACAGGAGTTGGTGGCAAAAATCACGGCTCTTCTCCTTCCGAGTCGACACTTGAAAATCACCGTTCTCGAAGCTGAATCTCGTAACAGTTGATGATTCCATATTCTTTGCGTACTGAGGCATGCTATAGAGCGGAGTCTTGCATTGCCCGAAAAATCTGACTTGCTTCCGGTCATTCACTACTGCTTCGGAGAAAAGGACATGTGAGGGTGAAGTACCAGCAGCTGCTGCACTGCCGATGAAGAAGAAGCAGTCCGTGAAGGCGAGGTGCCTGCACTTGCGTCCGATGCAACGGCAGGCTCGGCTGCAGCTGCTGCCTCTGTCGTCGATGAGCGCAGCTGGGACTGGCTACGGCCTCCAGCAATGAAGGATCCAGCTGCGGGCTCGTGTATGCGAACGTATCCACTTGAGTGCCTTCAGTTTGATCCATGGCGACTCCTTCCTTAGGTCCACGCTGGCTTGGCTTATGTGCGTTTAGGCCCTGTTCTTTCAAATACGCTCCTGCTTGTCGCTGCCGAGGGTTGGCATACAGCGCAAGCGGCGCAAGTTGCGACTTGCGACCAACAACGTTAGCGGACGTGTTTCAACTGTGGAGAACTCGGCCCCCTTTTGGAGGCTGCGGCAAGCAAAGGAGCACGTTAGGAGACAAATGCACGCATAGTGGATGCTCTCTCCTGTTCCTTTTTTGACGGCGGTAGCGACCTCATCTGCCAGCTCATATGAAAATGAAATCACGATACTCAACCTTAGTCGATAGTAACTTTTCTGCGGTTAAAATTGGTTCTCCTGTCGCTATACTTGCTGCTTAGCTCCAGACCAAGGCGAAAGCACCGCGACTCCATAGTTGTGTGCTCGCCATCGAAAATGCAAAGCAACTCCATAGTCCATTCGTAGCCACCCTGCCTGTGGTGAAGCTGAGGAACATGATTCTTTACCGCCAAATGGTTGTCTGAACGTGACGACGGGCGGCCGCATGGATGGGGCCGCGCTGCGCTGCATCGTTGGTACCTCGTGCAAATGTATCTTCGATGGCAGCGGAAGCGCGACTTGGAGGACTTACAGGCGCAGGGACGGAGGTACCACGGCCGAATTGGCCGCGCTCTGCTGCCATCGCAGCTTCGTGGGCCTCAGATAGCGAACGAGCTTGCGTTTATTCGGCTCAGTTGGTCTGCACAAGCGACAAGACAGTGACGACGTCGGCGATTCCTCCCTTTACCACTACACAATCGACACCTTGTCATTTGCTTCGTATTGGACTTTATTTACTTTGGCTTACATTGCTTTGAATGCATTGATTAACACTCAGTTGGTCTTCATTGAACCTCCCCCGCCTCTCACATCCGTTCACCATTCTCGAATGCCATCACAGATCGTTGTACATCGTCGAGTGCTTGAAAAAGTAATTATCTTGTCGTTGTTACCGCTTTATCAAATTCATCCTGTACATTCATCACCAGCGAAAGGGGCGGCCGCCGCTCACGCGCCAGAGGGACGGCCGAGCGCAAGTCCGGACATCTTGCGATGGATGTCCACGTCCGCCGGCCTCGTGTTCGCGGGAGACGATGAAGACGGTCCGCTAAGCCCAGGAGGAGCCGTGCCACCAGCGGAAGCAGCGGCAGGCGTCATGACCGAACGAACAGGCGCAGAAAAGTTGAAAGCATTTCCAGGGCTTCTGCTGAAGGTCGGGGAAGCTACGCCAGCACTTCCCTCTGCGTTACCGCCGCTGCCTCCGGAAGATGAGTGAGCGAGTGACTGCGATGGTTTGCGTTGGAAGGAGATAGGGGATGTCGCTGGCGCAGCGCCAGCGCTTGCGCTTGCGCCCGGTGCGCCAGAGATGATCCCTCCTGACGGCGTGCGGCCGAATGACCCGGATCCAAATGCCGTCTGCCCAGCGCCTGCTGCCCCGCTGCTTGACCGACTGTTGTTGCGCTTATCCGAAGGACTGATGCCAAAACCCCTCGTTGTCGTGCCGCCAAAGCTAGCCATATGGTGCTTCTCGGGCGAGCGACTGATGAGCGCTGGCAGCGTACCGTTCGCACCGCCAATCTTGGAGCGATGGATCTTCTCTGGCGCAGGAGGTGATTGCGCCAGTGGAGACGAGGCGAGGTTGAGCAGCTGCTCGCGTGTGTAGATTATGCGGGATCTGCCAAAGTATGTGCAAATGAAACCAGCATGTCAGAACGGCATACGGTGGCTGCTATTTCACCTGGCCAACTCACCCTCCTGGCGTCTTGCCAAAGAATTGGCTACCGCCCGGCGTGGTAGCATGCAAGCTTGTAGCGTCGGCGCCGCTACCCGCCGTAGCGGTGAGGCCACCGGGTGCGTTCTCCGCCCTGCGGATCCGGATCGGTTGAGCAGATGCCATCGTGATCGTGAGATGGTCGTTGTCTGTGTAATTCGCAGTCTCTCTCTCGCTGAGATTCTTAGAGACTTGCAGCTACAAGCGGAGATGGGGGAACGAGCGGGACCCGATGGAGCTTGTTTTGATCAATGCCTAGCTGCGCGTCTTGATGGGCTTGCGTTGACTGACTGGCTAGTCGTTTGTCGGGGGCCTATATGCAGGACAATGCGCTGGGCGGATCTCTTGTCAACGGCAGTACGACTGGGGGTGTACTCATTGATGAGAGGAGCGTCAAGGGGATGTGACCGGCCCCCGACGCCTTTTATCATTGCCCCTTGGGCTTGGAGAGGTCGTTGGCACTGCAAGCGGAACCAGTTACAGCTGCGTGCGGGGGAGGACATCGTGAGGCGCAGGAGCGGTGCTTGAGTGAGTGAGTGACGTGCTGCCATCGTGCTCCACGTCAGTGCGTCACGCGACAACAGGCCTGGCACCACACCAGTCAAAATGCTTGAAAATGGACATGCCACACCATCTCACGGAAATAGCTTGAGCGTCATTGACTCATAAATGACTCCACAGCGACGTGTCAGCGACCACCAGCATACACCATACATAGCGCGCGTTCTCTCATGACGGAATTCGTAAATCAGGAACAGTCCGTCATAGATGATAGGGTGAACAGTGCTCCAGATCCTCTCAGACGTTGTCGGCCTGGAGGGCGCACTTTGGATGCTCCTGTATGAAGTCCAGGGCGGCCCGACATAGCGTTAGGAAAAGGGCATCCCTGAGCCTCTTATATCATACCCTCGGAATATCTTTCGAACCAATGTATTGAGCCTCACCGGCGACGGCGATGGAAGTGCACCTATCCCACCGGCTAGTCAACATGTGTTGGCCGAAGTCCCCGGTGAGTCTTGGATGCTTCTTGCCAACGACGCGCAGGGCAACAGGTGTGCAGAAATGGTCATCGTCCAGCTCGAAGCTTCTGTTCGACGCCTCACGCCTACGAAGCTCCATTCCATGTATGCCCGCCATGAACCCATGCGTCTTGAAGCGAGTCAATCTATGTACCTGTATTTTGCAGGGGGACCAGCTTGCTCTGCGCGGACAAGTCAGCGAGGACATGCGCTGAGCATCAGCGAAAGAATGTAAGGCCGACTACACGGCCGCGTGGCCAGTATCGACTCGTGACCGATTGAGAGACAAAGGTCTTTGGATTGCTGTTTTGTCATTATTGGAATACACCTGGGTAGATCATGTTCAGCAATTAGAGCAGCATGCTCGGCATGTCTTCTAGGTACTGCTTGAGCTTGACGAGGAATGTGACAGCCTCGCGGCCTGCATGCATTGGAAGGATGAGGAAAGGAGGAGACCAGCTCATCGTCAATAAACGAACTCAAAGCTCGCATGAGGATGGCCAAAGCACGCGGCGGCTCACCATCAAGCAGCCTGTGGTCGTACGTAAGCGCGACGACCATGATCGGGCGAATCTCCACCTTGCCGTTGACAACCCATGGCTTGTCCTTAACGGCGTGCATGCCGAGGATGGCGCTGCCGGGTAGGTTGAGAATGGGCGTGCCAAACAGGCTGCCGAAGACGCCGCCGTTGGAGATGGTGAACGTCCCGCCGGACATGTCCTCGAGCGTGAGCTTATTGTCGCGCGCCTTCTTGCCGAGTCGGGCGATCTCTCGCTCGATCTCGATGAGAGTCATGCCCTCGATGTTGCGCACAATGGGCGTAACAAGCCCCTTCTCGGTCGACACGGCGACACTCAAGTCAACATACTCGCTGTAGACGATCGTGTCGCCCAACCCATCGCCCTCGATGCGCGCATTCGCGGCAGGAATGTCCCGCAGCGCCAGTGCAGACGCCTTGGCGAACGCCGACATGAAGCCCAGCTTGACGCCCTCGTTCTTGAGGATGGCGTCTTTGTGTCGCGCGCGGAAGGCGATCAGCGACGACATGTCGATCTCGTTGAACGTCGTCAGCGAAGCGGCAGTGTTCTGAGACTGCTTGAGGCGTTCGGCAATGCGCATGCGCATGCGCGACATCTTGACGCGCCGCTCCCCGCGGCTGCCCGCAACGGGCTTCGATGACTCGCCCTCGCTGGCGCTCGCACTTGAGCCGACTGATGTCGATGGCGCAGGCTTGCTCTCTGACTTCTTCAACTCTTCGCCCTGCTTTTTCTCAGCCTGCTGTGTCTGCTGCTGCTTTACTTGCTCCTTCTTCTGCTCCTCTTGTTTCGGCGCCGCCTCCTGCTCGTTCGCCTTGGCTGCGCCGTTGCCTGAAGACGCACTCTCTGCAGGCGCCTCTCCAGGCTCGATGTTGCAGAGGTCTTGGCCAACAGTCACAGTGTCCTCTTCTGCAGCCTTCGTCTCGGTAATTGTGCCTGTGACAGGTGCATTAACAGAGACATCAATCTAAAGCCAAGCGCCAGCTCTGTCAGTACCTGCGTTTGGCTCGGGCACGATGTCCTTGTGTCAGTATGCATACCTTATCCGTCTCGATGGTTGCAATCTCTTCGCCTTCTTTCACATGGTCGCCTTTCTTCTTGATCCACTGCTTAAGCGTACCCTCGGTGATTGACTCTGCCATCTGCGGTACCTTGACGACTTCGCGTGCGTAGGCAGACACATGGAAGAGCGCAACGGGTCGGAGGAGTGAGTGAGACCACGAAGTGGAAGTACCAGCAACCTTCGGCTGATGCTGCTGCCTCGAGTACAGTGAAGCCGTTCCGGACGTCATCGACAGGGTGGAGAGGGCCCGGGAAGCTGGGGAGACGGTTCGCAGAGCCACACGTGCAGCCGCGGCCGGTGCCGACGAGCGTGAGAGCAGCATGATGGAAGACACTTGCTGTGCTGTGCCCTTGCTTTCGATCCGACAAAAGAAAGCACCGATACGAGATGCGAGCCTTTGCGTGAAATAAGAGAGATGCTTCTTGACCAGGGTAACCAAAGGAAGGGGGGTTGGATCGAAAGCTGTTCAACTTGTCTGCTACTTTTCTCCATGGGTCGGGTTCGGAGTTGGACGTGTGTGTAGGTCGCGGCACACTTGTGCGATGACGCGCCTACCACTGATTTTACACAGCTGTTGCTGGCTTGCAGTATAAAGTGCATGGCTTTACAGGCTTGGGGCCTCTATTGCTCATTCATCATGCCAGCGCCATACACCTGCCACTGACCGCCCCCCCCCCCCGGAGCTTGTGACTCAGTCCTACAGATCGTGGGAAATGACTGTTGTTGCCACCACATATTCGCTGAGAATTCCAAATGCTAGAGCGGTTTCCTCGGGGTTTGCGACCTAGAACGCAGCCTACGGGACAGAGGCTGCATCGCCCATTTGCGGGTCCCCGCGTTGATCTGCAGCCTACCCATGTCTTCATTCCGTGCGCTTTGGCGTAATTTAGCACACAATGCAGGGCGAAGCGACAATTTGCGGATGGACTTGCAAATCCTCTGGAACAAAGGAACCAAGCCAAAAAAAAATCATCAACGGTGGGGCTGCGATGATGCACTGAAGTTTCCCTGAGAAGAGCATGGCATGCTCGACTTCAGGATACCTTGGCATCAATGATTCACTTCCTCTTTGTCCAGCCTCTCCAATCTTTAAAAGCTCCTGGCTGATGATCGCATGCGTTCGCTCTTTAAGCCTGCCATCCGAGACCTCATCCCTACGCGATTACCCGCTCCATCCTGACAGCTTGGCGGCACGGACCTGCTTTGATTCACACAGCTCCCTTTGTTCGCCCATCACATGAGAGACGCGGTTCGTACACCAAGATGACCACGTCTTCCCCAATATCGCTCGCAGCTTATGTGCTGCTGGCGCACCTTGCTGTGAGCAGCTGCATCTGCAGAACTGCAGGTCCCGCACCTGTCGATGCCGCGCACCTCTTCAAACGGCAAGCATCGCCCGTCTCGCCACCAGTCAACAGAGGGTCCGCGAGCCCGATGATCTCCGCAGACCCGAGCATCTGGGCGATAATATTTGCCAAAGCGCAGCCGATGGTGCATAACATGACGTTGGAAGAGAATGCGAGCGTGGTCACTGGCACTCCTGGCTCATGAGTTGACTACTTGAGCGCTGTCGAGCGCGTTGGCTTGGGAGCGATGTGTCTCCAGGACGGCCCGCTTGGCGTGCGCCCCGTGCGGAGGTTGTCTCAGTTTCCGGCGGGTGTCATAACGGCTGCTACGTGGGACAGAGCCTGCTCGAGCGGGGAGGAAAAGAGATCGCAGATGAGGTCAGAGACAAAGGGAGCAACATATAAGACTTGGGCGCTTTCTAGCCCATCGCCATTGGAGGCTTATATGTTCACGGTGTCGATTTACCGCCAATCAGGATGCTCTCTCCCGTCGCAGAAAGTGGACCGCTTGGTAGAAGCCCGCTAGATGGGGGTAATAACGAGGGCTTCTGTCTGGACGAGGATCTGGGTGTCAAAGCTGCTTTTCGTACAGTTCGCAGCGCTCAATCCACATTCGTGCAAACTTGCGCAAAACACTATATCGCATACGAACAAGAGACTTTCCACCAACCCTATGGGTCGATTGAAAGCTTCACATGGCCACTGCCCCCGGCTCATCCTCACCCATCAGCTCTGCGGTCGACAGCAAGACGACGCATGAGTTGTACTTGTGGGGCTTCGCAGAAGCAGTGCGCGCTGGAACCGCCAGCATCACGTGAAGTAAGTCTTTCTGTTTCCTACTTTGTGCTGCGAGTATCCCATGCTCATGTCAGGGCGTCTGCGCTTGCTGGGCCTCGAGGCTATGACGAAATCAATGGCACACATGCGTGCCAGAGCTCGTATGCGCTGACTGAAGTACTGAAAGGAGAGCTAGGGTTCAATGGAAACGTCGTCTCGGACTGGGGCGGCGACTGATCGAACGCCGAGGCAGCATTGTCCGCCTTGGACATGTCCGTGCCCGGTATCAATTCGAGCAACGGCAACTTTTTCGGGCCAGCGCTCGTTGATAGCGTGCGCAACGGCACATTACCCGAAGAGAGGCTGGGCGACATGGTGCTGCGCGCGCTGTCCCCATGGCTGACACTCCAAGACCTCGACACATTCCCATACCCTACCTTCGATGTGCGCGACATGACGCTGCCGACGAACAACGTGCAGCGCGATCACTGGAAGCTGATTAACAAAATAGGCGAGGAGAGCGTGACATTGGTTAAAAGCAACAGGTCTTCCTCAGCGCCGCACCGCGGACTCCCGCTGCAGAGTATCCACCAACTTCACAACCTGCTCAAACTGCTCATTTCCGGCTCCAGAGCCGGTGCCAATCCGCGCGGCTGGACATCGTGCGGTCCGACGGGGACCGGGTGCCCGATCTAAGGACAAGACACGCTGACATCGATTGGCGGCTCCGGCTGGGCGTACCCTCCGTACGTGCTGGACCCTTGGCCGCCATCCAGCGATACGTGCGCGAAGGTGTGGTCGACGTGAACGTTACACTGAACGACTGGGATATCTCGAACGCGCAAGCACAAGCGGCTCTCTCGGCGTCTTCGCTCGTCTTTGTCAGCGCCTTCACATCTGGGGAAGCGACCGGCAGAACTTGACGCTGTTGAACGACGGTGACAAGTTGATCAAAGCGGTCGCAGGGAGTGCAATGACGCGATCGTCATCATCCACGCGCCGGAAGTCGTGTTGTTGGAGGAATGTATCGAGCGCCCTAAAGTCACCGCTGTTTGCATGACCTACTACCCAGGGAAGGTGAGCGGCGAGTCGCTGCCGCCGCTGCTGTGGGGCGAGAAGAGTCCGAGCGGCAAACCTCCGTTCGTGATGGGCAAGGCCCTGAGCGACTGGTCTCCGAATGGCATCTTCAGCGACATGGTTCTACAGCCATCCGTCAACTTTTCCGAGGGCAAGCTGATCGACTGGAAGTGGTTCCAGGTGCAAAACATCACTCCGCGCTTTGGCTTTGGACATGGTCTATCGTACGCCACCTTTGCCTGTGGCCAGCTTGCCTTCGAATTCAAGTACGCCGCGGACAACACGTCGGTCCACCGCACGAGCGAGCGCTTCGTGCGTGGCACCCAGTATGACTCGGTGTACGACGTCATCGGCTGCGCGAGTGTCACGCTGAGCAACAAGGGCAACTGCGCGCCGCCGAGGTGGTGCAGCTGTACGTCTCCTTCCCTGCTGATGACGCGCAGGGCCAACCGCCGAAGCTGCTGCGCGGTTTTGAATGGGCGTGGCTCGAGCCCAGGCAGACTACTGTGGTCGCGTGCGACATCCGGCGCAAGGATGTGTCCGTTTTCGACGTGCCAAGCAACATGTGGCACCTGCCCAAGAGCGCATTCACCACGTCTGTCGGCAGCTCGAGCGAGAGTATCCATTCGACCTTGCAACATACTTTTGTTTCCTAGAGACGATCTTATTTTATTCCTACCGCATCGTTTTACTACAACCAGCATCCCAAGTACACAGACATTCACACCGCCGCCCGCACCAGCTCTCGCTTGCAAACATACACACGGCACACGCATACACACATATATAGAGAGAGCTCCCTGTTATAGTTTGTTTCCGTCTGCATCGTCCATCCTACTCTCTACATGTGTATGTGTCACACAATGTATTTCTTGTCAAGTCTGCAACTGTGCAGCACGGATCATCTTCAATAGATCCATTGCACCTGCTCCTGGTTGAAGACGCAGTTGGGGGGCCTCATCCCGAGGCGACTCCCGAGGAAGTGATGCAGTCACGTGATATGTTTTGGCGCCGCAATGTGGCGCAAAAGCGGAGGCTCCGAGCCATCGAGCAGAGGATCCACCGCGACGACACTGCTGAGCTGGGCGGAGCCAGGGCAACGCCAGAAATGTTGCATTGTACACCATCACACCATTGTCTTGCACAGTCCATTCTCCTCCTTCTCCTCTTCTCTCCTTCTCTCCTTCCCTTCGTCACCTTCAACTTCCCCCCTCTCCCCGTGCTCTTCCCAAGACGGAGGTGACTGGCTCGCCTGCACAACTCTCCCGTCTCTCCAAGGTCTGACTGGTTCAGGCCGGCTTCCAGATTCTGCAACATTCGACCTCATCCACCCTTTCGGGACGCTGGCTCGTCCCCCACTACGAACGCTGGTTGAAGGCGCCCTAATACGAGGACCCCACCACCGTGGGCACATCCATCTCCAGGCAGTTCCCACCACCACCTCGCCATGAGCAACCGTCTCTCCGCCGTCATCGAAGAGGGTAGGGGGTCCACCTCGACCGCGTACGTCCTCGAAGAGACCGAAGATGTCTGGACGGACCCAGCAAAGGCCAAGGCGGCAGCGCCGCCGACGCTGGATAACCTGTCCAATGAAACAATGGGCGCGAAGGAAAATCAGAAGAATGAGGGCGACAAGATCCAAGGCTGGAGCGACGTCAGCGCTGCCATGGCACTTGTGAGTCACCAGCATGATGTGAATACATTCCACATCTGACGCCTGTGCCTGTGCCTACCTATCAAGACATGGCGGACACAGCGACGTCATCTATTCACTTCATGGGTTCATGTGCCCATTGGAATCTGCTTGATCCTCCTCTGCACATGGGGGCTCCACCTCGCCGTCAACGCGTCGCCGTGGAACTTTCCTGCGGGCCTGATCGGCATGCTCCTCTTCTTTTCCCTGCTCCTCCTGCTCGACGGTCTGTCCCTCCTCTTCCCGGGGAAAGTCGTGTCGAGCCAAGGCGTCGATATTGAAAAGGGCGAAACAAGCCTACGCCCCGTCGATGCGGCTAAGGAACGTCGGCGCTTTGTCGACCCGCTGATGAAGCTGCTCGCTCCGCCATGTGACTTTCTCCTGCGCAACATGTCCATCCTCTTCATCACAGCCTTCATGATGCTGCCCATGCAGGGCGCAGTCCAGAGGAAGGAAGTTGGGCTGATCGTTGCGTGGTTCTTCGCGACGCAGATCATGGCGCTGCTCTTCCCCGTCGCGTTCTGCGTCCTCACCGGCTGGATCGCCAAGAAGATCGCCCATGCGCGCCACAGCGAAGTGATAAAAAAAGGGGGCGCCGACCTCGAAGCGCAGGCACGCAACAACAGCGGCCGTGAGTCTCGCGCGTCCAACTGGTCCGGCGAGACTGCTGTTGGCAGGTTTAATACCACCCCGCCAGAAGCGGGAGAACAGCTGAGGCCCGGAGACGTGGCCCAGCTGCAGGGCAACGTCGTTGAGACCGCAAGGCAGCAGGGCGAGTTCGCCAGCCGCAACAGCCTACCGTCTCCTGGCGGTTGGGGCATGGCCAATGTCACTTTTACCCAGTCGTACCTGCCCGGCTCTGGTCAGTCCGCGCACCCGCGCACCCCACCTGGCTTCCGTGCCGCCACACCGACGTCACCCAAGACATGGACCGCACAAGAGGACGCAGAAGGCCTCGCTGCACTCGCCCCCAACGCTGTAGAGAGGCTCTCGGGGAGGCTCGCCAAGTCAATCACGCCAGCATTCTACATTGTCATGTTCATCGTCGGCTTGCCTCTCTTCTACCTCTGCAACTTTTCCCTCGTCCTCTTCCTCTCCGTCCCCGTGCTCGCCTTCCTCTTCGCCATCGACGTCATTCCTGCGTGCATCCGCCAATTCTTCCACCCGATCCTCAGCGGTGGGACCATCACCTTCCTTGTCCTCTGGGGCCTGGGCGAGGCGAAGGGCATGAACATCTACGCCACCATCCAGGCTTTCAACCACGGCACCGCGCGTTATACCCATCTTCTCAATCCGAAAGGCTATCACGGTCCGATCCCTGGCGCAGGCGACGTCTTCGCCTCGCTCCTCGATGCTGCACTGGTCGCGCTCGCCTTGCCCTTGTACCGCTACCGCTACGACCTGCGCGACAACTTTGTCCGCATGTTCCTCGCCCTCCTGCCCGCCACGGCGCTGTCGCTTTTCGCCTGGCCCGCGCTGGGCCGCCTCGTTGGCCTATCGCAGGTACACGCGCTCTCCTTTGCCGCACGCTTCATGAGCGCCGACATGGGTGTCAAGCTGACCAGCAACCTCGACGGCGACGAGCGACTTGTCACCCTCCTCATCGTCCTCACGGGCGTCGGCGTCGCGATCATTAAGGATCCGCTCTTTCGCCTGCTTCGGGTCCCCGAGAGCGACCACCTCACCTGGGGTGTCACGGTCGGCACTACAGGTGCTGCGATCGGAGCCAGCTCCCTTGTCGCAAAACCGCGCGCGATGGCTATTGCCACTCTCACATACGTCCTTTTCGGACTGATCATGCTCTTCGCTACCGCTTTCCAGCCGGTCGTGGACATCGTGCATAATCTCACAGGCGGTACACCTAGCATTATTGATGCTGTCGGCCTGGGCAACTGAACGACTGGCAGGATCATCCGCCATACCGCTTCATTGCTATCCATGTAAAACGGACCTCATCGTCCATATAATCGAGCGAAATTGTCATAAAATGGTGACTTTAGTACATGCACGGCAGGGGAAGCAACGTCGGCAGTGAGAGAAAAGACAAGGGTAATAGCAATGATAATGGAGGCATCCAAGCAACGCAATACCTTGAAGGCGTTACTGCAATGTGAATGTTTGACTGGTTCCAGTGAAGTCTGTCAAGCCCAAAAAATGTATGTCGGGACGTTAAAACCAATCCAGAAAGTGTGCGCGCCGCGCCTTCGCGCGTTTTTGGGCTCACCTTTAATTGTTCCTGTAATAGGCGTCTTGCTGCTACCATAGTAAACGATACGGTAGGTGCCCACAGGCGTGTCCTTCTCAATGGCCCATGCGATGTCAACCCGGCTGCTGCCGATCAACCCGTTCGTCTGCGTCCAGCGCATGGTAGTCGTGTGATGCCCATCCGTGCGGACGACAAGCCATGAGCCGTTGCCGGCCTGCTGTTGCACTTCAAAGAACGTGCTGTCGAGCCGGAGGTTGTTGCGAGGGTTGGCGCCGACGAAGGAGACAGTGACGTTGTTGCGCGCTGGATCGTTGCTGTTAACAGTGTACGTCGCATGTGGCTGCTTGAGCACATCGCCAAAGTGCTTCAGCGGCGGGGGATTGTCGTAGACGACTGGAGAATGGAAGGACAAAGCCTGTTGAACGGCAAGAGTGGAGTGAGACGTTAGTTCACCGCAGAGCATGCGAAGCGGATATGCTTTTCGCAAAGCCTCTCACCTTGGCGATGTTGATCGCAACCATGTTGCCCTTGGGGGGATCGGGGGCTTGATCCTTGAGCGCAGGGACGAGCGTCTTGGTGTAAATGTCAATGTACGCCTCCAAAGTGAATTGCCCTGCGAAAGAAAACTCGCGTCAGGAGGGCGCCTCCTTTCATCATGCTCTTCGTCTGACGCACCATACAGTGTGCTGCTTCCTTCATAGCGTTGCGACGTGTATTCCTCGCGCGTAGCAATGTAGTGACCGTACCTAAAGATTAAGCAACGTCAGACATGCGCGGAAAAGGAACCTCAGCGACAAAGGTATTGCCCTGTGATGGACTCACGTATTAGCGGGGCCGGAGAGCATGACGATCGGGTTCGAGTGCACGTCATTGGCGATGATAGCGGCACGAACGGCATCCTTGAGTCTGCGACCGCTCATTGTGGTAAACTCGCCCGGCATGACAGTGATGAAGAGATTGCCAGCCTGAAGGATCTGCGTCTCGACTGTGTTGGGGCTCCAGGGGTACGGAATCTTGAGTTCACCAGTGTCCAGCAGGATGCGTTTGGGTGCTTGGCATGCAGTCTGCTTTCGGTTGGGAGGGCGGATTAGGTGAGAGATGATGTTGAAGAAAGGGTCGGCATGGTCGGTATCATTCGTTCCTTGGCGGAAGTCAAAAGCGCCAGGTCCCTATCAGAATGATGCGGAAATGAAGGTTGTTAGCCTGTGGGGTACCTTCAAAATATGCACTCGTCAACGCACGTCCGTGGTACCGCCTGGTGTCCGACAATACAGAAAAGAAGAATGGCAAGTACTATCAGTTCGCACCGCACATTGTTATCGATGGAGACTCTGCGGCCTACCTGCAAAACCAAACCCAAGCGCTGCAGGGCAAGTGTGCACTTCCGACCCGTTGGCGAGAGTGAATTTGTAGCTGCTCATGTCGACGTTCATCTTTACAGACTTGACGGCGCCTACGACATCGATGAGATTGTCGCTCCCGAGGATGCTCTTGGCGGCGTCGACCTGATACTGAGCGATGATCTCGTTGCTTTTCCAATCGTATCCGCCCGTTGGGCTGAGCGCGCGCGCAACTTCGTCGCCGAAGCCTGGTCCGCGAGCGAGACACGTCTGGGTCTCGTTGGCGCCGAGGGCACCCGTGTTGCATGTCGACGTCTTGAAGTCGCACGGCGAGCCGTCCGGGCAAAATGCCCCGAGGGTGTTGGGTGACGTGTCGCCGACTTGAGACTGTGAGAAGCCGGCGACGAAAGACGATCGGCCAGGTAGAGCATTGGGGTCCATGGCTTGCTCCATCCATAGCGCTGCGAGGCCCTTGTTGTCCGTGCTGGTGAGCGTGTTGTTCTCTGCGATGCGATGACCAGAACGTAAGCGTACAAGGCTCTCGTCACTGCATCACTCAGCCCGGATCACGACGTTCGGCACACTCACCGTTCAAGCTCGTGCCGTGCACAGCGTACCAGCTGAGCATAGCCTTCGCCTCTTCGCCTTCCTCAAACTTTAGCAGCCCGAACTCATCTTCCTGGTTGCTATCGTACCTCGCCCTCTCGTCTGCCGGGTTGAACAGGTACGAGTAAGGCGAGCGATTCACATGCGCATCCTTGAGTGTCACGTTTCCGAAGGAGAGCTTGAGCGAAGCAGCAGAAGCGGTCGTCACGCGAGTGCGCCGCGCCTCAAAGTCGTTGTGCGCACGCACAGCAGCGGCAAAAGCGCCGGCGACAATCGCGTCGTAGTTCTCCATGACAACGCCAGAAGAAGTGACGGTGGGTAAGAGGTTGTTGTGGAAGCCTGCAATACCGCTGTGGGAGTGTGTTCCGACAAAGGCGACGTTGCGCTCGCCGTAGACCCCGGGGAAAGCGTCGCGTAGTTTGGCGATGACTCCCCGGCGAATGGCAGTGTCGCCCATACACAGGTCCGTGTTAAGGAAGAGCCAGCGGTCCGCGAGCCCGTCGTAGGGGTCCGGGTATCCGCCCGGGTCAGACTTCACCGCATCTGCTGACTGCGGAACATCGGGCGGCAGAGGCGGCGACTGGACAGGGATGGTGGACGTCGAGGAGCCGACGATAAAGGCGCGTGCTCGATTGCGAGTATGCAGGCCCGTGTTAACTTGAGGAAGAGAAGCGTAGCTGGGGAAAAGAAAGGGAGAAGGGAGTCCCATATTTTCCGCAACGCATCAGCAGAGGAGGACTTGGGACAAGGCGCATGCCATCGTTGTACACACTCACCCCATCATGTTTGTCTGGACGATTGGACCGGTAACGTCTCCGATGCCAGTTCCGAAGGCAATGACAGGGGATGGGGCTGTAGCCGCCGGCGTGGCATCCTTTTTGACACTGACGCGACCCTTCTTGGCCTGCTCGTCGACGTCCGAGACAGCGCTGTCGACGAAAAAGTGAGATGCGTACGAAGCGGTTGTAGAGTCGGCGTCGCCGAAGAAGTCATGCAGGCTGCTGGACACGCCTGTGCGTATGTGCCGACAGACGGAGGCTGGAGAGAAGAGAAGAAGCACAAGGGAAACAGGGAGCAAGGTGCAGATGGCGACGAGCAGCAGGCGAAAACGCCTACTAGGGCGCCGTTTGCGCGGTAGCGCGTTGGCGGCCTTGTGCCAGGTCGAGGACGTGGAGGAGTGTTGCGCATACGAGGACGGCAAGAGCGCCTTTTCCTCCTCGTACTCGTTATCTTCGTCTTCTACCTCCACCTCCACATCAGCAGGCTGCTGAGCCAGCAGTTCGCCGCGGTACGGCTGATCAGGGTGAGCAGCGGTGGCAGCAGCGGCGACCGTGAAGCGCGGGGTCCTTGGCAAGGTATCGTGCGCTTGGCGTGCGTGTGGTATATCGGCTGACTCGCACGAGTCGAGCGCCTGGTATTGTGAAACCGACATAACGATTGGCGGGCTCGTTTGCCTCGTCTTGGGGCGAGTTGGCCAAGTTGCCTTTTGTCTCCTGGCCCCTCTTGTGGATGCCTTGATCGTGGGCACGCAACGAGGCTGATGGGACCACGCGAGACAAAGACAGGTGTCGCTGTTCGTGCGAGCTCTTTGGGTCGCGTTGATGGAGAGTGCGAACAATATAATAGGTGTACAACGAAGAATACGGCCAAATCCCGCCTTGCCTTTACTCCCTTTTTGGTCTGCTCCCTCCCATCATGCATGACGGCGAACCGTGCTTTCCTTCGAGCTACGATAAAGCTCCAAAGACATCCATCGCCTGATGACTGATCCACCTTGACTTTAAGCTTTCGCCGGATTCCCCCATCACTTTCCGAGATAACACGTGTGAATACGGTGAAAAGAGAAAAGCCCTGATTTGAGGCCGGGACACGCTAGACGCGTCTTGCGCAGCCAAGCTCAATTCGACGGACTACGCGGCAGCATGATGAGGCCATGCAATGTGGGGTTAGGGGGCAAGTAAAAGTTGCACCGAATATTGATTCAATTTGAAGGGGCACAGGCGTCAGACGGAGGACCTGGGTTAGGGAGACCACGATTCCATCTCAGAGACGCCGATTCAAACCCATGATCAATCGCATTCTAATGCTTTGGGACGCTTCCCCGCCCAATCGCGCAACGCGACAGCAAGCTTAACCCAACGAGTTGTGTTGCCGCACAGACAGTGTTATATTGCAAGGCTGGGACGCGGACTTGGTTCACATAGCGTCAGAACGCCTGGCAGCGCCATGGACCGAGCGTTCGGATTGTTAGAGACGGAACCGTTGGCGAAAGGCAAAGGGCGGCGCCTCTGCGGAGACTGTGTAAGCGTCTCAGGCTCTGGAGCAGTATGCTCCACTGGCTCCGTGTTCCGCCCCTACCAAGTTCCCGGTTTGGAGCTCAGGTGGTACGGCTCTATGTAGCTGTAGGCTGTATGTACATTGTACACTGGTACCAACATCCGTACAGGTGGCTAACGATAAGCTTTGCATATCCCCAAGGCTGTGCGTGCAAGCAAGGGCAAGGAAGAAGAAAGCAAGCGCTCCGGCACTCGGCAGCAAGTAAATGAAAAAGTGAACAAAAGGCTCGGCACTAAGTGCGGCCCCGAAAAGCATGGGCCACATCCATCCAATTGGCATGTGGCCCCATGTATACCTCTTCCTCTTCCTGCCTTTCCATCCTCTCCCACTCCTTTCCGCATCTCTTTCTAACCCTTCTGCCGAGTGATCGCTGCTGCCCAACCTATATCATTCGAGAAACGGTAGATAGTACCAAAGATGATGGGCTCTTGCTGCAAACAAGTGAGTCGGGCGGGTCGCCTGCCCATCCAGCACAGCGTTCGCGAAGTCCGACATGTTGAATCACGCGCTGACCTACTTGCAATTACTTGCTCAT